ACCAGCATTACTATAAGAAAACAAAGAGCTGATGAGGCAGGGCTGGGTGTTGGCAAAGAAAGGGAGAAAAGGCAAGAGAGTTTCAGCGCTACTCAACAGTGCACACTACACATTACTTGTATTATGCACGAGGTCATGCGGGAATGTATACAAGAGTTTAAAGGACAAAATATCTTCCATCCTTATAGCCTTAACTAGGTGCCTGGATGATGCTAGATGGCAAGATGTTGAATGAAAATGTCCCAGTCCTTAAAGATCTTACACTAGATCTCTCCATTTCAGCAGAACAAACCATGGGAAGCCTTTACACCGTGTCTTTAAAGTGAACAAATCTGTACCTTATTTAAATCATTATTCCCTGCCAGGTTATCAAAATGTATCCCAACCTTTCGGTATACGGTCAGGTTATTATCAGGCTATCTTTGTGGGAGTATGAAAGAGAGCGGGAGATTTCTTAAATTTCTGAACCACGACACCTACACAGCCTAAGACAGAGTGCTATCCAGTGTTCTTCGCTGCCTGGCGCCCTGCCTCTCCCGCCTCCCGGTGACAGCCTGAGCTCCGGGGAGCGCGAGGGCCGCGGGAGGGCCCTGACCTCCCCGAGCGCGGACCGTGCCGAGCGCGCCCCCCGCCGGCCGGACAGCGAGACCGCGGAAACTTCGGCGGGACACGGGGTGACAGAAGGAGCCGACCGGGAACCGACGCCTAGGGGGAGCCCCCGCCTTCCAGGGGACGGTTTCCTAACCCGCGGCCCTGCTGCGGGAGTTACCTGTACAGAACATAGGTAGGTGAGTCCAGGCTCAGGAACCCGTCATCCATAGGGGATGCCACCGCTTCTCCAGCCTCGGCTGCCATCACTTCTTGCTGCTGCTGGGGCGGCGGAGGTTGCGGCTGGGGCGGTGGCGGCTCGGGCTGTCCAGGCTCGCCGCCCTGCGTAGCCTCGCCGACCCCCTCAGTAGCCGCCATCTCGCATCGGCCCGCAGCGGAGTTGGCGGCGGCGGAGGGCCCGCCCCTCTACGGTCCCACCCCTCCCTATTTCCCCCTCCCCCACACGAGTCCCACTTCCGGTTCTCTCGCTTTTCCTACCATAGAGATGTGATCTAGAGAGTCCCCGAGCCGGCGCCCTAGCCTTGACCGACCTAGATGGGTTGTTGTCTGCGGGCTAGACTGCGCCACTCTCCCAGGGGGCTCCAGATTTTCCATTTGTGATCGCATGTGCAGGCCTTCCCGAATGCTTGTAGTTGGCCATTGGGAGCGTGCTTAGATCCTTTCAGTAGGGGAGACGCTCTCCTTTCTTTTTGTTCGGAGTCTTAGGAGCCAGAAATAAGAGCCTCTGGCCTACAGCTCAAGACCCAACCACACCTCGTACAGGTCGAGGGAACTGGCCTCAACTTAACCTTATAAAGTCCTTTACGTTCCTTGTGCACGTTTTATTTTATTTTTTCTTTTCTTTTGGATGATAAGAGTTTTTATCGCAGAACTTAAGTAATTAAGGTTTTTTTTGTCTTTTGAAACTAAAGTTCTGATATAGAAGTAATATGTGTATGTAAACATTTAATTACTATTTACTGACTACCTGTCATGTGCTAAGGTTGCTCGTGGCAGTAAATAGTCTCTGTAGTCGTGAAGTTTAAATTCTGGTGAAGGGTAGTGGTATTTACCACTCTAATCTATGTCTGTCGATGTTCAGGGTGTGCCACTCCAAAATAAACTGCTTTGGCCTATTATTTTGAGGTGTAGGCACTTGCAAAACAGCAAATGCACAGTCAAGCTTTTCTCTGAGCGCCGACCTCCCCTCTTCTCTGCCTTAAGACAGATCCTTCAAAAGAAACTCATTTGTCATAAATCCCCTCCCAGGAGCTGTGAGAGCAGTGGAAACCGCATCCAGGCAAACTGTCAGAAACTCTCAGGTCTTCCATCAGTTCTATGGGCTCACTCTTCTGTCCTAAAAACCATTTATTCTCCCCTAAAGGGCCTACGTTGCATTCCCTCTCTTTCCTATTAAGATGGTATAATATTTAAGCTTGAATTCTAAGCAACCTCAGAAGTGACTAATTTCTCCCTAGGTCTCTCTCCCAGGTACCCATGAAGTGTACATGTTAATAAACCCACTTGTTTTTCTCTCAATCTTTTATTACAGGGGACTCAGCCACGAACTCAGAAAGTTATTTTTCACCCTCTACAAGCAGCAGTTCCCAACCTTTTTGGCACTAGGGATTGGTTTTGTGGAAGACAATTTTTCCATTGACTGAAGGGTGGGAGTGATGACTTTATAGCCTGCCACTAGATGCAGCTTAATTGTCACTTGCCACTCATTGATAGGGTTTTGAGTCTGCAAGCAATTGATTATGGTCTCTGTGCGGTCCAACCTCTCTGCTAACGATAATCTGTATTTGCAGCCTCTCCCCAGCACTAGCATCACCGCCTCAGCTCCACCTGAGATCATCGAGCTTTAGATTCTCATAAGGCTCGCGCAACCCAGATCCCTCACTTGCGCAGTTCACTGTAGAGTTCAAGCTCTTACGAGAATCTATTGCTGCCAAGATGCAGAGCTCAGGCGGTAGGGGGAGCAATGGGAAGTGGTTGTAAATGCAGATGAAGCTTTGCTGCTCACCTCCTGCTGTGCAGCCTGGCTCCTCAAAGGCCGCTGACAGGTACTGGTCCCTGGGTTGGAGACCCCTGCTCAACAGCAGTCAGGAAGGCTTTTGTGGGAACTATTGGAGCAGAGACCCAAAAAGGGAAAGAAAATGCATGCCAAGTAGGACAGGAAGTGTATGCTTAGTGTTCTTGGTTCAGCAAGGATGCCAAGAACTCAAGCCATGTGAATGAGGAGAGGGGGTTGGTAGGTGAGAAGGTTAAAGAGGAAGCCAAGCACAAATTCAAATGGTAAGAATTTGGCATTTAATTTTAATTATGGCAAAAGTCATGTTACCTTTTTAACCATGTTTAAATGTACGGTTCAGTGGCATTAAGTACATCACATTGTTGTGCAACCATTGCTACTGCGCATCTGCACCATCCATCTTCTTTACAAAGTGAAACTCTGTACCCAATAACACTCCCCATTCCCTCCTTCCTCCAGCCCCTTGCAACCACTATTGTACTTTGTCTCTATGAATTTGATGCTGCTGGATACTTCATAGAAATGGAATCATACAGATTTGTCCTTTTATAACTGGTTTATTTCACTTTGCATAATACCCTCCAGGTTCATCCATGTTGTAGCATGTGTCAGAATTTCCTTTTCTTGTAAGGCTAAATAATATTCCATTGTATGTATAGCCCACATCTGTTTACCCACTCATCTGCTAATGGAAACTGGTCATCTTCATCTTTTGGCTGTTGTGAATAATGAAGCATGTTAGAGTCCCGCTTTCGCTTCCTTTGGGTCTATACCCAGAAGTGGGATTGCTTGATCATATGGTAATTTTGTTTAACTTTTTTGAGGAACTCTTTTCCACAGCAGCTACACCAGGGCTCCAATTTCTCCGCATGCTCCCTAATGATAGTTATATTTTTAAATCATTTATTTTTCAATTACACTTGACATTTTTATATTAGTTTCAGGTGTACACCCCAGTGATTAGCCATTACATAACTTACTACGTAATCATCTCAATAAATGTTGCACCATCTGACATCATACATAGTTATTAGATTATTGGCTGTATTCCCTATGCTGTTCTTTACATACCCATGACTATTCTGTAATAACCAATTTGTACTTTTTAATCCCTTCACCTTTTTCACTCATCTGCCCCACCCCCCTCCCATCTGGCAACTGTCAAAATGTTCTCTGTATTTATTAGTCTATTTCTGTTCTGCTTGTTTTTCAGATTTCATTCTTGGTAGATAGGTATTTATTGTCATTTTATTGCTCATATTTTAATCTTTTTTCCTTTCTTCTTAAAGATGATCCTATAACATTTCATATACTACTGGTTCTGTCCATACCAGTCAGGGTACCCAACACATGAGAGAACAGCCTTCAGATGACTCTAGTCTCAGACATCACCTAATTGTGACTGAATGAGGGACCCAAATTGAGAGCAACTGAGCCTGTCTCCAAACCTGAGAGAGATAATATACCATTTAAAGCCATTAAGTTTAGAAGTGGTTTATGATGTACCAATAACCAGAGCAGTAGCAAAAATGTTCTTAAAGCAACTGATAAGATTTTCACCTGGGATACTTTTATTTGGGAACTTTTCTGTGTTGTGACCCATTTAATCACAAATCTTTGAAGGCAAAGGCATATTTTGATTTAATCTCTGTGATTCTACCTTTCTCATGTGCTTCGATATTAAATACTCAGGACCGACAATAAATGCTAAATTTAATATGGTTACCTCAATGCTAATATATATGTATATATGAAAGCTTATATACATCTTTTCAACGTTGTAAGGAGATATGTGTATACTAGTTTTTAATGTCTTGGTGCTAAGTTCACTTTTGAATTACTTAGCTGATTATTTTAATGTAACTAGAATCACTCTCCACACTGCTACTACCATTTCACATAACACTGAAGATGCCATATTTCAATAATGTTTAGGGAGGGGAGGGAAAAGGGTGAGTTGTAAGGGTCTACAAGGCAGGAAAAGGGCATTTATTATCCAAATAGAATGCTAACAATAATACTTTATATTGTTAAACAAAGTAAATACTCTACCACCGGTTCTTGCTGTACAGTCTGTGGGGAGGCTGGTCATACCAACTTGATAATTCTAACAGGAGGAGCCATGGTTAACTGTCACCCCTAAGAACTCTGGGCAGTCAGTTGACAAACATTAAGTACCAGCCTGTATCAAAACAAAAACTATCATGGGTCCTAGAAAAAAAACACAAAGAATATTCCTGAGTTACACTAAATCAGTGGTATAATCTTTAAATTGATAGGACACTATGTCAAGAGGCAAAGGCCAGTGGATGAATACTATTACACAGTTATTAAATGCGTGTCTGTCATGGTTTAAAGGAGAAAACAAACTCATGAATTTTTATACAAGTCTTTATTTACAACTTGTTTAACAACTGTACACTTTTTGCAGCCTTGAAAACATTTTTGTACTCGAATGGGAAAATATAATTTGACCAAATCTTAACTTTATTCTTCATATACATATAATATATGCATACATATAAACATATACATATAATACCATAACAAGTTGGCAGTCATAAAATTAAAATGAGTAAGTGATATCAAAAGGAAATACAATATAAGATTTCAAAGAAATTGAAAATCTTGTGGTTTCTTGGACTTTATATTTTTGTTACTTTAGTAAAACTTTCTTACTGAGGTTCTCTACCAACTTACTTGCCTCGGAAAAACAGTGAGAAAATCCACCAATCTAATACACAGTAAATGGCTGGTAAACTTGGTAAATGTGGAAAAATGCTTGGATACCAATGCTGCTAAATTTGTATTGACTCCACTTGTAAAGTGAGAAATTTAGAGTCCTATGTGGATTTCATTTTTGGATTATAATGACAAAGAATGAAATGTGAAATTATCAACTGTCAACCAGAAATAAGAATATACCTAGCAATATACTTTTTGCAAAGGCTAAACTTCGGTGGATAACTACAGTGTCAAATGTGAACTAACAACTATTCACAGATCAAATACTTAAGACATGAGTATAAGGCTTTAGAGCTGGGACTGTAATCGATCCGATTCCAAGTCTAATGAACTAAGCTGTTTTCCAGCTCATCTGAAAAGTTAAAAAAATACTGTAGGGGGGAAAAAACCTCTTTCTATCCCCAAATCTTTGATAGAACTTATTAATCAAAATAAGGCAAATTATTAGATATGTTTGAATTTTACCATTCATTATACAACCAAAAACTGGGAGTTATAAGTAGTGGGGCAATTATCAAAACATGAACATGGCAAAACAAGATAAACCTGAAAATTATTCTTCTGAGTACAAAGCATTCTGAATTACAAATAACCAGTAAACAGCATAGTTAGTGACAGCAATGACATTTTAGTGCATCTGAAGTTTAACTAAGGCTATTAAAAAACAAAAGGCTACCACTGAAAGATTAGAAGGCCTCAAATCACTGACTGGTATTTATGTACAGTCATTTCTTGTATTTATACTAAAATGCTATTTCTTACTTCAAGCATATTGAAAATTTCCCTTAATAAGAGTCTCTGCAGAATACATTAAATTAGGCCCCCAAGAAAATACAAAACTCAAATTACACTGTTTACTTATCTCAGCCTGAATGACAATGAGTTTCATCATCCTTTGCTTAGAATTTGATACTACTGGAGCAAGTCTGTTGCTTGATAAAAAATTTTTTAAAAGGAAGAGAAAAACATCATGAATTCCTAACAGGGTAGTTTAACTACATTACTAACTGAATTAAAAAGAATTATGATTAGTCTCCTATTTTCATTAAAAAACTCAACAATGCATTTGTACAGATCTTTCAATTATGTTAAATGCTTTAGTAATAGGCCAAGTAAATTAATAAATATTAAAAAATGTTTCATTCACTAAGTCACTGGAATTAAATGTTTGCTTTATACATTGAATTTAACTTGATTCATTAACCAAATTGTTAAGAGCAAGAAACTGAAGAAAGCCTAAGAAATTATTTGGGTATGATGTACCTTTAAGCTGGAAGATAATCAAATATGATCTTAGGGACAGAAAAAAAACTGTTAGCAACTTTTATTAGCTTTATATAGATATGAATGTAACCAAACAGAAGAATATGGTGTTACCAATTTTTACTTGTAAATAAATAAAGCATTCAGTTTCCGCTCAGTGTTATAAACTATCATCAATATTAAAAGCACTACATAAAAAATCCCTAGATACTAAGTTATGATTCATGAAATGATTTCATTATATCACTTGAAAAGTAAAGTGCTGAGAATGTGTTTAAAATATATATATTGAAAATTAGTTTCAAAGAATGGGGTTTTGATTTTTGCATGGTCTCTAAAAGGGCTGGTATTAATTTTATTAAGAAAAATAGCTTTATTCAACTACTGCAGTCAAACCCAAGAATTGTCATACATTGATTGAATACCTTTATTCTGTCTTTATTTTCCCTTTGGGCATTATAGCACTGACAAAAACCATTTTCTACAGTGATGAAAATGTTCTAAATCTGTTTTGTCCAATATGCTAACCACTTTCCATGTGTGGTTACTGAAGTACTTAAGGTATGGCTAGGTGACGGGGGAACCAAATTTATTATTTATTTTTAATTTTGTCACATGTGTCTAGCAGCTAATGAATGGGGCAATACAAGTCTAAAATCTACTCTTTTCTAGATTAATAAGAAGCCAATAAATAATAAAGCCAATGAGAAGAGAAACTACCCATTCAACAACTAATTAGTAGATATCAAAAACATGTTGTGTTCTCCCGAGCGCGCGTGTGCACGTGTGTAACTTTTTACTTTGGGAGGACAAAGTAACTCTCCTCTCAAAGGTCAGAGTCTAGACCTCCTTTTCCATGTTGCTCCCTTCTAGGACCTGCCTAAGCAAAGCCCATCTGTAGGGAAGGGGACACTGCAGAAGAAAAAGGCTACAGAAACTTTTCACGCTATAAAAACATTTCTCTCATCTGGAAACACAAAATGACACAAAACTCTTAAGAGAATGTTATGAGCAAATCTCCCTATTCTTTGGCAATAATATGTGGCAATGCTTATGTAACAACAAATATTTTGGTACTTTTTGACTACAATTTGAATACTGTTACATTCAAGTTACAAATGGCAGAGTCCTAAATCCTAAAAACATCTTACTAAGCCAAAAACTTTGCTGTATTTGAATTCAAGAAAATGACCAAGTTTATAAAGCATATCTGTTATAAGAGAACTAGGAATATTTCTGTACTATTCTGCCATCTTTAGGGTCTGCCTTTTCCTGTCACCCCACCCCCCAACCACTTTCAGAGTCTCTGACTTAGTAGCTCATGGAACCTGACTGACTTTGGGTATATGATAAAGAAACTATGACTGTTAAGGACAGTTTGTAGGTTTGCATTTTAGGAGACAGGAAAATCAAAGGTAAGAACATCTTCTGATTCACCAGAAGATTGTTAACGTTTTATTACTGCCAACTCCGGAAAACAAAGTTTCAAGGGTGTTGCATGTAAGAGAACTTGGTTTCATGAGTTATTAATGTATAAAAGAGTTTGATTAATGTGAAATATAAAGTGTAATTCATGCTTAGTAGCCCCAACCCAACTTCAAATAGATTTCCAGACTTAGACTTAGAACTTCAAATCTGACTTTAAAAATTTCAGGAAGAGTACAAAGCCCACTGATTGGGCAATCTCTTACATTTTTTAAAATAAGGAAAAGAACCCCACTGAAAAGATAAATAGAACATGCCACAGAAAGTTAAAGAAAATAATTATCTAATATTAGTAAAGTGCTGTGAATCTTGCAGTGAAGTATAAATAATACATAAATGATTAGAAGTAACAGTAAATAATATTAAGACACTCATTTCTAATAGTGACATATATAAAATAAACACATGGTAGAATGTATATACAGTAATCACTGACCATAGGTTGACAATTACACCAAGAATAAATGCGAGTCCCTTCTATTAATTTCACAATATGGTTGCTAAACGAATTATTTTCTTTTGTCAATTTAGAAATCTCTAAAGTGATAATGCCAGCTCAGAAGTCTCCCACATACATCATTAAAGCTTCAGCAAGATTTGGTAGTTTTCTTTTTCTCACTTTGAGATTGTTTTTCTCATGACATTTAATTTTTCCTTTAAGCTCTGGGTGGAAAGAATTCAGGATATTTGATAGCCCCAGGGCCTAAAATTTTGAGCATGGATACCTTCTCTGATGACTTCATCTTCAGACCCTAATCTAATTCAGAGCCTGGTGAAAATGTACCAGGTACATAAGGGCTCTCCTTGAACACATATATTTTTTAATGTGTATTTTTGCCTTCACTTTAAACAAAAATTTCAGTGAGGCTACTATGTATAATTAAGGGGGACTAAAATTGAGCCTATGGTTTGTAAACTGGATAAAGCAGCAAATCTATATAACTGTTAGGAAGTCAGTAGTGATTTTCAGATTTCTCCTCATCTCATCGAACCACAGTATTCTTAATGACCTCAAATCACTACCTTAGCTTTAGTAATGGGTTAACAGTTTCAAAATGGAAACAGGTGCTTTCCCCTCCAATGATAGCATACACAGTTAATACAGAGTGCCCAGTTAATGCCCAATAAAGGGAAGGATAATTAGAAAATAAATTATACTGTTGTCTACTCTTTTTTTATTGAACAATCACATAATAAAGTCAAAAAATTTTGTGTAAACTACTATTTTAGGAACATTTGTTAAGACAGTATAAGTTTTGATTGTACTAATACTTCAGTCTGCCAGGAAATGTTCTACAACTACATCGTTTTTATCCCAATAATCCACTTTACTGTCTAGGAATGAATTTGCTTTAACAGCAGTTCTGTTACTTTTTCCGATTGCCATGTTCACTTATATAAGGTGTACAAACTTCTCTGACAGAATATTGTTCGAAAATGTTAGAAAAACATTTTCCGAATGCAGTATTTCAGAAAAATCCTGAAAAGAGACATAATGTAATTGCTGACAGATAATCGTTAGAAAACATTTATAGGTCCTCCACAATTGCCATAACTCATAAACTTGCCATAACTAGGTTCAGGCCTCTCGTTTTTCAATAACTAATGTCCCTTCTCTATCATTTTAAGTGCAATGTAAAAAATCCAAGTGTATTTAAAGATAATGTTAAATATACATTTCTTAAGTTTTTATATTAAAAACATAGGACATGTGAATTGGATTGCTAAAAGGCTTTTCGGAAACAAAATAATCAGCACAGACTTCCCAAGAACATAACCAGCAATGTGAAGGAGATGATGTCATCACATCGGTGCCGTCCTTCATTTCATAAAAAGGAAGCTAAATACTGATGCCTCCGTGATGGAAGGGAAAGGGAAGGGGCAGAAATTAGCTGTGTTAGTAACAAGTTATTTCATGTTTTTTTAGGCTTCTGAGAAATGAATAACATTTACTGCAAAACTTTAGACCCTAAAATTATTGTGCTAAAATTAGACAATAAAACCATTTAAAAGTTTCAATAAATGGAACTACACCAATTATTATTTAAATATGCTTTATAGAAAGTAAAAAAGTCAATGACAGATACATTGAGAATAGCCTTCCTCATATAAAAACTTCATGATATAAAGTATTAAAATCGTTATAGTTACAAAGAATATGCTCTGAAACTGCTTTCTAAACATAATGAAACTGGGTTGTACAATTACTGGAATAAGCTGCCAAGTTGACAGTGGGAACTATAGGAAGAGAGATGATCATTATTAAATGGAAAACCCTTTTAACTTATAAAAAGGGAAAAATAAAAAACATGCTAAAATAATTTTCGAAGCTCCTGGTGTCACCTTTTAATTTTGTTGAGTGCGGTCCTTCCTCCTACTTTGGGATATTGCACAGGCTTCACTGTAAGAAGTACAAAGCCGCATCGGTCATTTCCACAGCCGTTTCTAAGGAAAGGGGCCCTTACGAGGCTAACAAGTCAAAATACCCTTCCACAGTTTAATGAAGAGAAAACAAAAAACACTTTGTCTTAATGTTATTTTGCCCTTGGCAAAGGCAAGATGCCAGGTGCTTGGCTCTCACTGTAGGGTCGCAGATGTTCTGATCTACGTATCTGTGAACTAGGTGGGTTTGTACTGGCTGTGGGTTGTGGAAGCTTTTTCAGATAAATCTCACACGTTCCAACTAAGGATAACTGTAGCAGCCCTGGAGTCTGAGAGCTGGACAACTGGAGATTAAATGCAGAGTTAAGACAACTTCAAAAATTTAGATTTTTGTTTCAGGATAATTCTTACACTGGGATGAAGATTTTCAAGTTTTTAACATGGTTATTATCTTTAAAAGATGAATGCTTATCTGAGTGCAAGAAACACTAAAAAACATTTCGTATCATTAGTTAACAAGACTGGACAAAACTGTTATTGAAAAGGAGATGTGAGAAAAGTAGTGCATAAATAAAATGTCTTTTCTTCAACTTAGCTTTCACTTACAAATTATTGCTGATCTATTTGGACAGCATGAATTTTCATGGCTTTGTGAAAACTAATGAAATATATAGGCATATGTCTCTGGCTGGATAAGATTTAGCTTAATTTTGTACAATTGAGCTTTTACTATATAAACAAAACAATAAAACCTCAACAAAACATTTCCTTTTATAATCTAAGTATCCCATTGAGCTAATTTTACCGGGCTAGGGCTATCAATATTGATCAATTTCGGAACATGGGTCCTTTATTTAGGGACTTCTTTTTCTTGGTTATTAACAAGTAATTCGACAAATTATAAAAAGATATGAATGAAATTTTGAAAGTTCTTTTAAGTACAAATGTATTATTTCTCTTTCTAGATGTGGTAAACTACAATATGTGCTGGATTTTTTTTCCCCATTACAAACTCTAATACCCACTTGCAGAACATAAATGTTATATGCTTTCCTATTCCTTAGTTATTTATTTTGTATTTTCTTACCCTGGTTAGAAGGAAAACATCAGATGAGCTTTTTGTTTACAAGAATTCGGCCGCTAGGCTGATGGATCACCTCCATCTAACGCAGCAGCCCTCTACTTCACTCCTGAAGCCAGGGCTAGCTTCACTGTCCGAGCGAACTGTGTCACGAAGAGACCGTAACTAAGGGGTTTGTGAAAATATAGCACAGCCTAGCTCACATCTCAATAAAGCACCTAATGTCTTTTACTTTCCAGACAGACCATGCATCATCACAAACATCCTAGGAAATTATTAATCATTACAGCAGAAAGAGAAATTTCATAAATCCTGCCCAAAGCTGGACAAGAGAAACAGGGTTATCATTGTTACAGCTAAGTTTTATTCCTGCTTTTTTAAAAAATATCCTAGAATGTTAGTAATATAATTTCTTCTATGTAATGAAAGTAATATACTAAACTTTAAAGGTACAGTAGAGAGAAAGTTATGAAGGTAAAATACCAAAATAATAGCATGCAACATATGCTGAAGAAAAATAAGGAAAACAGCCTTCCAAAAGGTTGGCACCTTTCCAGCCCGTTTAGAGAAGTGTATCTGAGCTGACAGGTGGGTTGGAGACCACAACAGGGGCAGTAACTATTCAAGAAGTAAAGTTAAAACCTCTCATTTTATGGGATACAATCCTTTTAATAAATAGCTCATAGACTCTTTTATGTTCACCTGCCTTATTCTAGGGGTATAATTTCCCAATTCTTTTAATTTTACCAAGGTTAGTGTTCACACTCTGTTTTAAAACAGTTGGACCCTAATCTACATGTAAAAAGAGGGCTGGGAGTAAAAACTACCCTAAATAGTTTTTGATCTTTTATTGTCAAAACTTTCTATGTTTATTTAGGTCTGCTTAGCCTCCTGAAGCCCCACAATGCAATTTACTCTCGTGATTCTCTCCATTATTACTAATACTTCCTGCTTTATGGTCATTTCAGGCAGAAGCATTCACACTGCGCTTAGATTTCTGTTCTTAATGTAAAAATTAGCACAATGCATGAAGTCATTTCTGTGCACATTCTAATGCTTTCTTCAAGTATGATTTCTGAGGACAAATGAAAATGCTACTCATTTTTAGGCCAATTTTCTTATAAAAATGGAATAATTTAAAATCAAACATTTGAATATAGTCTCTGAACATTCTCAGTTACATTTAGCTTGATTTAAAGTTACTAATTTGCATTTAATATCCAGATCTAAATGAAACCTGAACTTCTAAACAGCAAGTGCATGAAATAAAATCCTCATATTAGGTGACCTATCTAAAAACAAACACAATGTTATCTAAAAAACAAAGACAAACAAAAAATTGATCTAATTTAAATAATGTTTTGCTTTTTAAAAAATGGGCTATCTGGTGCAAGAAAAAGTCTGGAGGGGAACTTAAATATAATTGGGGACCAAATAAATCAATATGTAAAGTCAGGCAGAGGCATTTCATTTTCAAATAAATGATATTTTACATTTACATAGCACCTTATATAGTCAAAGTGCTTTACAATCATTATTACTTGACAACCATTCATCAATGGAAATAAACATGGTTTACAATCAATCAACATATCTAAGCATTTTGATGCAACCAAATACCTAAGAGAATCTGTTCAGTAGCAAATTCTTGGACTAATACATAGAATTAAGAAAAAATGTAAAGGAGATCTATCACAACATCACATATAAGAAGTCACTTATTGATCTTAATGACTGACATGAAGATGTTATGTATTTGGAAATATTGAGAAAAAGAAGTGTTTATATTAGGGAATAAGTAAAACAATGAGATACAAGTCAACAAGGAAGTTGACCCAAAAGTACTGCTACCTATTACTTGTAAGCAGATGAAAAATAGGTCTCTTAAGATGTGGAGGCCAATTGAAACTTTGTATCAGCGACACTGCCAGAATTTGATCCTCAGTTACTGCGCTATTCCAAAACAAGAAAAAAATAAATGCACTGCCTGATTTTTTCTTCTTTAATTTTCTTTCTAATAACCTAACCAATGCATTCATTTCCGCCAACAACAAGATAGCAGGAAATAATAAAATTCTATGTATTTATGTTTTAAAAATAGTTTCCAAATCCTCGAACAAATTTAATTTCCTATAAAACAATGTGAAAATTATTTTTTCCCTCTAAATAATTCTATTAGGTGCCTTAGGTAAGATCTGATTAGCACCTCTGCCACTGTATTTATGTCTTTGCAAAAAGTGCACTTGCCAACGATTCATTTTATATAGTAAATATGCAAGTTATTTGAAGTGCATTTGGAAAACAATTGAAAACATACGTTAATACATCATATAAAGATTAATTCCCTTTAAACAAAGACATTCTTGTAAAGCATGGTAACACAGAGGCACAATAAAGAATATAAATTGTATATCAATTATTGGCAGAAAATCTAATTCATTACAAAGCCTACACCACTGGGAAAAGGACATTTCCATACAAAGAAAAGTACTATACTATTACACAACACTTTTAACTGGGCATTTAAAAATTTTTTTTTTTTTGGCACATTAAAAGAAACTGAAAGGACTACAAAAGGAACAAGAAACTAAAACATTATAGATACAGAGAAAAAGTCCTCAAATGAGAGACAACTAAGGAACATAACACAGAGAAAAAAAAATTAACTGGTTGAATTTCCTGAAATGGTGTTACGTATAACAGAAGTATGTTTGAATGCAGGGTGTTTTTCGTTCTAATAGCAAGACGTGTCTACCTTGCTGTGGCTGGCTGAACATGGCCCGGGTAAGATCTTCTTGTGCTGGTTGCTTGTCTTTGCCTAGCCAGAAATGACTGCCCTGAACCTGTACTAGCAAGTCTATCTTCCGCCGCCTTTTTATGCAGAGTCATTCCCTATATCACACAGAAAAAAAAGTAATCAATGAAAAAATAGTGGAACATACTCTCACAACAGACAATTTCAGCATGCAGATTTTGTTACATTGCATCATAAGGCACAATTAGGAAGGTTAATTCTGCTCATTATAGATTAAAATTTTATCAACATTTCAATTCCAACAATTAGGTACAAATCTGCCTTTGGAAAAATTAAGGCTTAATTTTCTGAATTGACAGTAACCAAAACAACAGATAATAGAGACGGCTTTTTGGAATACAGTACCCATCCTCAATCATACATACTTCCCTTTCAGATCAAAGTATGAAGTGATTTTCCAAGGGGAAAAAAGTGCACTTGATTGGTAGCAGGTGATTCACAAGCGGTTGTGGAAATCACAGGGCATATTTAGAATGGAAAACCACAAATACACTCACTGTTTCTTAAGGCAGAAAGGCACACTAGGTATATACATACCACCATGCTGGTTTTCTTCACTTCAGGTGGACTTGTATTCTCAAATAAACTAAGAAAAGTTCCTGACAGCCCAAAACAGAGGGCCCAAGAGGGAGCAGGGGGTCTTTCTTGAAGACAGGAGGATGGCCTACTAGCTTAGAAGGGAAAGGAGCCATAATTGCAGGGCCCAGAGCACCTTAAGGTGGGGGGAGGAAGTGGGGCGCACTCTAAATACGGAGGAATAACCACAATGACCAGCCTATCAGGAGAGCAGGAAAAAGGTGGTTTTGGTACTCATTTAATAAGCCCTTGCCAGACAAGGCTGTTGCGTAGTGGCTGTTTAATCTCACCGGTAACTGGATACAAGTCAACTGATGGGAGATAGAGGAAGGCAACAAGGAAGAAATGAGCAAATCGGGAGCCAGGAGGAGAGTCCAGCAGTTAGCCAAGCTATGTGAAAAGCCACACAGCCTTCCCAGAATGCACTGGACAAAATGGCACAGAAAACGGAAGACTAATACATAAGTCTTCCTATCACTAGTTAGCTTCCAGGAAACACACTGGTCATGGCTTTGCATTTTTAATAGGATTGAAGTCTATCATATATACCTAAATACATGAACACATTCCTCCATTCTGCCTATAAGAAAATCCAGCCCCGACCGGTGTGGCTCAGTAGACTGAGCTCCAGCCTGCGAACTGAAAGGTCACCAGTTCGATTCCCAGTCAAGGCACATGCCTGGGTTGTGGGCCAGGTCCCCAGGTGGGGGCATGTGATAGGCAGCCAATAGATGTAAATATCTTTCGCACATCGATGTTTCTCTCCCTCTCTGGGGGGTGGGCAGGGCAGGGCAGAGTAATGGGAGAAAAAGGGGGACAACTGTAATTGAGCAACAATAAAAGAAAAAAAGAAAGAAAATCCAAAATAGGTTTTTCACTCAATTTTTTCACTCAAAACATCAAAGCATTGAAGGATTTGAATAAAATTGGCAATATCTATTGCTAATGTTTATTTATTTGGCTATACATATTAACAATTATATTTTATTTAAAATATAATATTTTCTAAAAATATTTTTTAAATAAAAATAAAATATATATTTTTTCACTTTCACATTCCAAGCGACTTATTCAAATTCTTCATACACTTTCAAGACCTCAGTATCCAGCACAAGGCTGTTCTCTGAGACACTGAATACCTTTTCCCAGCACTTGTCATCTTCACTCCATTTCAGGCGAATGACACGCAGAACTTTCTGAGTGTATGTGTAAAGCTGTTACCGGCTACCTTATTTGAACATAACTTGTGTGAGTCTACTCAGAGTTACTCCTTCACTGTCTGCAGAGCTGAAAATTAGGACTATTCTTTAATACGGTATCACAGGATAAATAAATTTAGTTCCATAAGAAAGACAATATGTGAAGTCATAAAAATCAATCAAGAGTATGAAATTACTAATAAGGACTGAGGGGCAGAGCTCCAAGATGGCTATGACTAACTTTAAGAAGGATAAAGAGGAAACAGAATAGGTGGGGTCAAGATTAGTTCCCAAAGAACTTCCTTAAATATATAGTCTTTTTCTTACTTAAAAATTTTTTTTTATTTACTGATTTTTAGAGAGGGGTGGAAGGGAAGAGAAAGAGAAAGAGAAGGACAGCGAGAGCATGAGCGAGGGAGCTGTTCCACTCGCTCACGCCTTCACTGGCTGGCTCCTGCACGTGCCCTGACCAGGGAGTAAACCCTCAGCCTTGGCACATCAGGATGTGTCTCTAACGGACTCAGCTACCCAGCTAGGGCTCTATTTTTTAATTTTAATTTTCAAGAAACCTATACTTGTTAACAGTAATAGTATTCTAAAGCCAATGATTTTCTTTTGTTTTTTTTAAATTGCAATAAAATCTTACATATGTAGTTTTAACCAAGGCAAATATAAATGTGGGCACGTCATGAAATTGTATAAATTTTTGGCAAAGATCAAATCACATAATAATGAGGCATGGTCACTAACCCTTAAGATACAGTATCAATTGTAAGTGTGAAAATGGAAACAATGGTACCACCAGTAACACAACTATAGAGTCAATGAGGGTTGAAGAAAGGAATCCGGTATAATTTCCTTTCTCAGGCAACTAATGCTTTGAAAAGGCAGAAGTGGTCTTACTGGGAAAAAGAACAAAGATGAAAAAGAAGACAGATGTCTAGGAAAAAATATTGAAAAAGTACAGTATTCTTCAAAATCCACAGCTATTCATACTCAGAAACTCTGGTTGAAGCCCAGAATGTCAATGAAAAGTGTTCCCCTGAAACACTTTTAAAGTTTGTGTGTGTGTGTGTGTTAAAAATCCAATTTCAAAACCTCAGTCATTCAGGGTCTAACAACCATAAACATTTCTCAAACCCTATGAGACAGTTAAACTATACTCAGTGTTTAAGTACCATTCCTGCGAAGATACTGAAATAGTCTCACAAAAGCAGCTACATCAGTATTTAGATACTATTAAAGTCCCTTTCCTAGAAAGAAATGGTTCTGAGAGACAGAAATCAAACTGTCTTTTATTTTTCTATCCTTTAGGGATGATGACGTGTTTGCAATGCCCTAACCATGGGTACGATGGTTCCCTATTTGCTTCTCGGTTCTCAGGTCGGCATTAAGGTTTTGTTAGTGTGTTAGGACGGCAATTTCTTTCAGATCCATTTGGTAGAATTACTTCTATAGTAAAGGTGTGCAATAAATATTACATATTTGCTGAACTGTGCAATGTTTTGAAGTGTTATTTTCTTACCATATTGTACCAGGCACTAACAATATATTTCTCTTCCATCTCTCTTTGACTCTTTGTTTTCTCATATTCTTTCTAAAAAACAAGCACATATAAACGTGTAAAGATGAAAAACAATTCAGTATCAATAAAATAGTTACAACTCTCTAAATTAATGGAGACAATAGCATATAACAAGTCTTCTAGAAAAACAATCAAAAAACCAAATATCCTATTGTATAGTATAGTGAACTACCTCTAATGAATGGAATTGTCGGTCCCGTTCCTGAAGCTGATTTTTAAGAGCTTGTATTTCTGGTGCTGCTCCTTGATTCTGTTTAGGATCTAAAGTACGGATAACCTGTGAAAAGTAATGAAAGAAAAATTTTAAATCTCAGACTGAGAGAATATAACACCTAAGGAAGCACTTATTTAAAAAAAAGTAAGCCCTGGCTGGTGCGGCTCAGTTGATTGAGTGCCAGCCTGTGAACCAAAGGGTCGCTGGTTCCATTCCCAGTCAGGGAACGTGCCTGGGTTGTAGTCCAGGTCCCCAATAGGGATGTACAAGAGGCAACCACACATTGATATTTCTCTCCCTCTCTTTCTCCCTCCATTCCCCTCTGTCCAAAAATAAATAAATCTTTAAAAAATGAAAGCTATCTTACAAGGACACTTTAAAATTTGAATGTATGTTGCAACAGCATGGATGGAAATGGAGAGCACTATGCTAAGTGAAATAAGCCAGGGGGTGAAAGACAAATACCATATGATCTCACCTATAAGTAGAACCTAATCAACAAAACAAATAAGCAGGAAAAATACAACCAGCAACACTGAAAGAAAAAACAAACTGACAGTAACAAGGAGGGGAGATAGGGGGTAAGGGGGAAAAGAAGGGGAAGGGTCAAGTCAAGGAACATGTATGAAGGACCCATGGACAAAGCCCAAGTGGGTAAGGATTGAGGGCGGGAGGTGGGGGTGGGTAGGGCAGGGGGAAGTGGTGGTTGGAAAGTAGAAACAAATGTATTTAAACAATAAAAAAAATTTTTTTTAATACAAAAGAAACCCAATAAATTTAATCCAAGTGCTATTTCAGCTAAATCTCACAAATTTTTATATACTATACTTTTATATATTAGAAATATTTTTAATTCCTCTTGTGTTTCTTTTTTGACCTCCATGCTATTAATTAATTATTATTTTTAAATTTGCACCAAAGGATATGTTTATTGATCTTAGAAAGAAAGGAAGACAAGAGTGAGAAATAGAGAAAAGGAGAGGGGGAGAGAAGAGGAGGGGCCAGGGGAGAGAGAGACAAAGACACACATCTATGTGAGACACAAACAGATCAATTGCCTCCATCCAGTAAGTGCCCTGACCGGGGATCAAACCCCCAGCCTAGGTATGTGTCTTGACCTGAAACTGAACTTCTAACCTTCTGGTGCTCTGGATCATGCTCCAACCAACTGAACCACCCAGCCAAGGTTTGGCTTCCATGTTATTTATAAGTGTGTTATTTAATTTTCAAATAGTTGGATATTTCGAGGTTTCTTATTGCTACTGATTTCTAACTTGATTTTACATTGCCATAGAATATACTTCAAGATTTCAATTTTTTGAAGTTAACTGAGACCTATTTTATGGTCTATCTTGATGACTATTTCATATGCACTCTTTCAGTTGAACTTCTCATAATGTGTATTCTGCACTTTTGGGTGTGGAATTCTTTTAATGTCAATCAGATCAAGTTGGTAAATAGTGTTTTTCAAACTTTTATATCTTTACTGATTTTTTTGTATTTTTTTCTTTCACTTAGAGAGGGGTGTTAATATCTTCAAATATAATGACGGGTTTGTCAAAAAATAAAATAAAATTTGAATATATGAAATAATATTCCATTATTGTAACTTTTAACTATATAAAACTTTTTAATTATGTAAAACAAATCAATTATAAACAGTCACTGTTGATTAAAATTAATACATTTTACCGCAGCAAACACTGCTGACAGCTGTTGACCCTGTCCCTTTCCTCCGATTTGGTTCGGCTAGCCCTCTGCCGCTGACCAGACGCGCACTTAGAAAGAGGGTCCTGCTGCTTTAAAAGCCTGTCATTGTGACCCATGTCCTCTTCTGCCAGTGGCTCAAGGTTTATGCCTGGGCACGTGATGGAATTCTAGCAGGTCACCTAGAGGCCTTCTGGGAAAGGTCTTTTTGCTTTTTGGCCCAATACTGTCTATAAAAATGACCAAACCTATAGAAAACTTTGAAACAGCAGAACAATAAAAACCCATTTCCTTTAGCACAGATGCACCAATTACTGCACTTCTACATTTGATTTCTCTCTCCCAATCCAGGACCCAAAGATTAACATATTACATTTAGTCCTTAGATCCCTTTGGGCTTTTAAACATTCCAGCAGCTTCTTGTGTTCCCCCACACTCTAATGCCTATTTCTTTTTCATAACATAGGCTTTTATCCCAAACTGTATTTATCTGATGATTTCCTGAAAGTGTTATTTGACTTAACACAACAACCTCATTTTCCCCAGGAACTGAAAGTTAGGTCTAGAAGATTGTTTAGATTCAGGTTAAATATTATTGGCAATGATGTTCCATCAGGAGGCACAAGATGTTGGCTGTCCTACAATCAATGTAGGTAATTTTGATTAGTAGTTAAGGTGGTGACTGCCACTTATTTCCTACATAAAGGTACATTTTCTTCTTTGTACTTCTTGTTCTTCTGAGTCTCTGCATGAGAAGCCAGTGTGCTGCATTTTATTCTGAGAAGCCAATGAAACATGACCAGAAAGTGAAGTGAGATGCCCACATATGCATACTTACACTTTTAGCTTTCTCTAAGTATTTCTTATATCGTTCTTCCATTTGCTTCATTTCCTCTTCTTTCTTCCGTAGAGCTTCCTGTAATTCTTCAATTTTTAAGGCTGAGATGAGACAGTAAAAAAATTTTTTTTTAGATTGTAACTTTCAAAATATTTCAACTAGTTAATAGTTTTGAGAGATTGATTTCTATAATTCTTTTTTATAAAATTCACAATTCTTTTTATAAAACGCTTTTCTTATAAACAAAAACTCCAGTATGAAAATACTTAAATTACAAATTATCTACAGATGATACACACAATGTGGTATATACATGCAATCAAATATTATTCAGCCTTCATTCTGATACATGCTACAAAATGGAGACATTATACTAAGTGAAAATGAAAGACATCATACTAAGTGAAATAAGCCAGACACAAAAGGACAATGCTGCTACTTATATGAGTGGAAATACCTAAAACAATCATATTCACAGAGGCAGAAAGTACAACAGTGGTTAACGGGGGCTGGGGGGACAGAGTTTCATTCTGGGATGACAAAGAAGTTCTGGAGATGATGGTAGTTGCACAACTATACTAGACAGTTGAGTAATTATTTGTGATTGCACAACAATGTGAATATACTTAATGCCACTGAACTGTATACCTAAAATGGTTAAAATGGTCATTTTTATGTTATGCATATTTTATAGCAATAAAAAAATGTAAAAGTCTGTGTCTTGCTCCAACTTCCACACAAAAGAATTAATGAAGTCAAGCTACATACCGTGTGAAAATTTCAAGAGAAGTAAAAGTTTCACAGGCTTAGCATTCAACTACACTAGGAAAATAACCCATTTCATAAAATATTCATTAACATCTACTGTTAAGGAAAAACACAACTATAATTAGAAATTTAAGAAATACTGTCAAGATGATTATATACTCTTTTTATAAATAGAGCAGATCCTTTAATGGCTGGAACATGTAATAGGGCCTATTTCTAAAATAAACGATTTTATATCAACTTATCACTAGGGTACATGCCAGGCTAACCAATTTAAAACTATTCTAAGTAGGAAAAGCTCACAGCTGTTGTTAAATCTTGGTTCGAGATCTTCAATAATGGCTCTCTTCTTCTGCAATTCATTATTGGCTTCATGCAGCTTCTCTCTGTAACAAAATATATGACACTGTGTCTACTACTATTATGCATCTTTTTCCACTTCAAATGAAAAATGTATGTTTTTTTATTTCTGGAATATATCTGCATAACACAGAATGCCATGAAACAAAGATGAAAAGACTAGTCCAATATGAATTTAATAGATTTTTAAAATAACTTAAAAAATAGAGACAAAATCTCAGAGTTTGCAATAGTCACTTATTTTGCACAAGAGGGTACAAAGAACTTAATGATCTTTATTTTATCCCTAGGAATAAGGATATTGTAAAAGTTAAGTGTAAAACTTTGCAGAGGTTTACAATGAAAATCTTATGGCAAAAAGGTGAAGTCCTAAAGACAAGAACAGAAAGAACACTATGCCAAATAGAAAAGAATGATCCATGTAACTACATGGATAGATACCAGAGAATGTTGAACATAGAAATCATGCACAATAGGGCAATACTGAATGATTACATTTATACGAACTTCAGAAAGTATCAAAACTAATGAAAAGTGATCGAGATGAGCACAGTGGCTACTTTGGGGATATAATCAATCAATTACAAAGAAGAGCAACAAATCCTGGCGGGTTGCTGGAAATATTCTATATGTTGTTCTAGGTTACCTATGTGTGTAAACATTAATCAAGGGGTTTACAGACTTAAGAACTTAGGATTTGTAAATACTGTATTTAAGTTCTATTCCGATACAAATGTAAAAAAGTAAATTAACCAGAAGTCTCTTCCTGGTATTTATATATGTGTAATTCTCCCTATATAGTATTTAGCATGACATTCTATAATATGAAAGAGAAAAAAAAAAGGCTGTCAAAGTACAGAAAAACATAAAATAGGATACTTTGTTTTCTCTATTTCTAGTCTTTTCAATGCATAATACAGTAATAAATCTGCCTCTTTTTCAACAATTTTTTGAGGGTACGGCATACACATATATACATACATACATACATACTGGGTGGGGTAAAAGATGTATAGTTGAGTACATGAAACAGACTTTATTCTTGTGCTATTATTCATTATTGTATTATTTTCCATATGAGCAACTATAAAACTACTTTTGCTCCATCCAGTATACATACATGCACACACAAAATAAATTTATATAAAGAACAAGAAAAACTAAGCTCAGTGAAGAAATGAATTAAGAAACAAATTATTTCAGAACCATGTGTCCCTATCCCCTTCCCAGAGGTAACCAAAATTCAAAATTTCAATCATTCTCATGATTTTTGCGAGAGGTCTTTGTATTCCTAAACAATGTATTGCTTAATTTTGCCCAATGTTTAATTTATACTTTACTTATACTCTATGTATTATTCTGTGACATCCATCTTTTACTTAACATTACATTCTTGAGAGACATCTGTGTTGTTGTGTTACTCCGAGTTTACCCATTTCTACCACTGTATTGTGTTGTTTGCATATACCTCATTCTATCAATCATTTTACAATTCGAAGTATCTGTATTGTTTCTACATTCTGTTATTACAAACAACATTCTTCCATACTTTCCTGTACATGTCTCCTGCTACATATGAACCATAGCATCACTAGGAATCTAGGGCAATGGTTTTTTACCTGTGGCTGCAAGAATTTTTAAAACATGCAATATCTGACTATTTAGTCGGGGGCACTGACCTCTTTTCCCTTAGACTGTCAAATATAACAATGACAATGGCCAATACAACAATAACTGTCAATCATATCACAGAGCTGCATCTTACTGGATAGGATGCATAATAAGGTTGTGTCTGATTGGTCAGTTCTTGGTACCAGAAATCCTTATATACAAGTATGGGCACCTTTAAAAAGTCACTTTGGAGCAAAAAGGTAGATAACTACCATCATTATTTTTTTTTAAATGAATCAAAATTATACTGATTTTTTGTCAGATCAGCAAGAAATGTATTTTTTGGTGTGCCACAGAACCTTATTAATTGGTTTATGTGTGCCATGAGATGAGAAAGGTTAAAAATTGCTGATCTGGGTATATATAGGGGAGTGGAACTGATGGGTCAGAGAATAGGTACTTGTCCAACTTTACTAAATAAACTCCTATACACTCTTACCAGCAGTGGATGGGAATTACCGTTGCTCAGCATCTTTGGCAATACTCAGTATGTCAGATTCTAAAATTTTACCAATTTGGTGTGTGTAAAAGGGTCTCCATCGTCATTTTAGGTTTGTGTAAGACTATCTTTTAAGATGTCTATGGGCCCTGCGACTTCCCTGAAGACATGGTGACGTCCTAATCCTTGGTAACTATGAATGTGGCATTTGGAAACAGGGTCTTTGCAAACATTAGTTAAAATGAAGTCATACTGCATCAAGGTGGACCCTCAATCCAATGACTGGTACCCTTGAGAGCCATAAGGACACAGAGCCACCCAGAGAGAAGACTGCCATATGAAAATGAGGGTAGAGGCTGGAGTGAGGAGCTGCGAGCCAAGGGACGCCAAGGACCGCTGGCAGCGGGCAGAAGCCAGGAGAGGGGCCTGCAACAGAGTCCCCCTTAGAACTTACAGAATGAACCCACCCTGTCGGCACCCTGATTTCAGACTGCTGTTAAAAGAATAAAATTCTATTGTTTTTAGCCACCCAGTTTGTGGTAGTTACATTATAACAACCACAGGAAATGAATACAGGCCTCATTTCTAATAAATTCTTTTTGATAATGATTTTTACAATGCCAATGACTGACCCAAAAAAAGTCAGATCATAGGTTTATGAAAAACAATAGGTATTCTGTTCTTTCCAATAAAGGCACAGGAAATGAAGAAAGGACAGAATTCAGTACTAAATCTTGATTCTAGATAACCTCACAATAGCTGGGAGGTAACATTTTCTGCTCTAATACATTAAAAATCTGCCCATTGTTAGACTTGCCAGCAAGTGTTAGTTGCAAGGAGTATCTCACCTTCCCCACATTTAAAAAAAAAAAAAGGAAAAAAAAATTGCATGAGGTAAACTGCCTCAGTAGAACAAGTCAAAATTATCTACTGTATACCTGGTTTACTATAGTGTAACATTATAACAGTTAGCATTTCATTCCTAACACTGTCAACCTCAGCTAAAGATAAAAGACAAATGAAGATTTCTTCTTCATGAGAAAACAAACATAATATTTTGAAATTTATTCCATCATTTAGATTAAAAAGTCATGTTTAGATATGGCTGCAATTTAATGCAATTTAATAATCTGCTACTGATAAACTTTATAACACTTTTTATGAAACACAAAAGTCCCATAAACCAAAAGGTTGTGGGTTCGATTCCTGGTCAAAGCACATCCCTAGGTTGTGGGTTCGGTCCCTGGTCTGCGCACATGCGAAAAGCAACCAATCAATGTTTCTCTCTCTTCCCTCCATGCCCCATCCCTCTAAAAATCAGTAAGCATGTCCTCCAGTGAGGGGAAAAAAAAGAAATTTTACTTAAGCAAGATTCAGATGGCCATACTCCAGAGTAGACAAATTACAACCTGCAGGCCAAATTGAGCCTGCTGCCTGTTTCCTTGCACAAAGTTTTACTGGAACAGAGTAACAACATTAGTTTACACACTATCTAAGGCTGCCTTCAAGCTACAACTACAGAGCTAAGTGACTGTGACAAAGAACACATTTTGTAAAATCTAAAATAACTATTCTTTGGCCCTTTACAAAAAAAGTTTCTGCCTCCTGATCTAGAGTGTCTGACACTCTTAACTATGGTTGTAAGTGCTACTGTGAAGTTATTAAAACCCACTAATCTCATTTGAAAACACTTCTAAAGCAGTCATTGTTTTGATCTGAGGATCTTGGGTGGAGATGGCCCTTTAAACACTATTAACATATGTCTTATAATGTTCTATGTCTTCAAGGGACGCCCAAGCCGCTGTCTGAATACTCTGTAACCACTTAACATAAAACACATTTCACCAAATAACATAAGAATGAACCTCAATTGCTTTTATACTTACAGATGTTCTTCAAGTTTCTTTTTTAGAAGAACTGACTGAAAATAGAAAATAAAAATAATTTATTAACATTTTTACTACTAACAATTATTTTGTAAAAATAAAGAGCTTAACAGTAACTAATTCTGAGTGAGCCCTCAGTAATTTCTCTGGTCAAAGAACTCAAAGCACCCAATATACCCAAATTTATTTCACTTTGATAAGGGCAGCCTGTAAGTGACAGCAATCAGTATAAAATACCCAGAAATGGCATATCTGAATTCTCTACTGATAGGGAAATGAATAAAAAAGCCACTTATGTATATACATAACATTCCTGGACTCTGGAGGCAGGTAGAATGCTAATAATAACAGACTCTCCATATGATACTTTTTACATTGTTTTCCTTGCATCATGATAAAGTCTGGAATCAATTTCCATAAGTATTTATGACTTAATCAATGATTTACAAATATGCACAGGTTATAAATAATTTATATGATGGTATGGGAACATGAAGGATTATCTACACAGAATTTCATATGCTAGAGAATGCAGCTTTGACTGGGTATTAAAAAAAGTCTCCTAAAAAAGCAGATCAGAATTGACCTAAAAATAATCATAAAGAATATAGTGGCATCTATATTGGATCACTAGGTTACATATCTAAATTCAATACTTGTACGGTACATATAACTAGTGAATTCCATAAAACATTCCATTTTGAGATAAATGGTTATATAATTAATTCAGTCAAACCCAATTAATAGGCTTATTAAACAAAACATTTGATCAATCAATAGCAGTGATGAGGAGGAAAAACCCCACATACTAAGTTCTTTAATTTTCAGTCACCTTATTTGATAATGGTTACCATAACTATTTTTGTTCAAGTCCATTCTAACAAAGATCTGGAATATTTCAAGTCCATTTCTTTGCACAGGGTGTTAACTACAGGTAGCTCAGTGGAACACAAAAACCTCAATCACTGCTTCCCCCAAATATAAAAGAAAAGATGATAACCCTATTAACTTCAATTAGGCTTGTTCCTTCGTTAGTACACAGGGTAAAATGAAAATATTTTATAAATACCTTAACTTTAATTTTGCACTTATGTTTTGATTAGGCTCTGCAAAATTAATTTTAACTCAGTGATAATACATAATAAAGTAATGATTAAATGAATGGTTAATATGCCAAGCACTGCGCTAAAGCATGTCATATACATTGTCTCATGTTAACCTCACAACACTGAGTAATATTAGCCCATTTTATAGTTGAAGAGGTGAGACTGGAGAGACATTCAGTAGTTTTCAAGTAGCAGATATCCTTTAAGCATCTTAACCAGAAAGCGCATAAACCTATAAGGCAAGTTATATTGGTATGTTCGTTCTGCATAAAACTCCTGTAATTAAAAATTTTAATACCATCAACTATGATGGCAGATAATACATAAATAATTAAATTGCTCAATATATAGAAATGAATAGGAAGCCATACTTACTATAGCCTTGAGCAGAAACCATGCCAAGAGACAGAGAGGACATATTAGTATGAAGCAAACACAGCAGCCAATAGAAGGAACGATTTAGTAATTCATGAACAGAAGTAAAAGATATGCATTTTTTTCAAAAATGTACATTTTTCTTTCTTCTATGGTCTCCTCATCCTGTCTTGTTCTCTGGAGTTTTATACACTGTGGCTAGCTCAAATTATCCATGTGACTGGATATAACAATGCTTTTCTGCTTCCATGCTAAAAATAAATGACATAAAAATAATAATAAAAATGTGCAAGCCATCCTACTCTAACTTAAGGCTACTGAAAGGACTGTGCTTTGGGTAACAGAAATAAGTAGAAATTATGTTGGTCTTCAGAGGGGACCGATTCCGTTTGGCAGGCTGTTCTATGTATTACATATTCCTGATATGCAACACTGTGGGTTACTGAGAGAGAGAATATAAAAACATCAAAAGTATGCTGAGGGAAAGAGACACATATCTTGTACCACACTATTTCTCTAAACCATTTTGAGGCATATAATCAGAATAGGGAAAGTTTCTAACTGAATACTTTCTATATGCAGAAAAGAGATCTGAGAGAATTTCTAAGAATTTAGAGCAAGACATCTCATGAGCATCTGGACAGTCAAATAAACAGACTAATTTGTGCAAATAGTACTTTACAGGACTTGCATTTCACTTCTGAAATATGTTCTCTTAAAGTAATGGCAAACAGCATATGTAATTAGATTTGATTACCACAGTAATACTTAACCAGGCTATGCAAAACTACTTTTTACAGGATAAAATTCTTGAGGTATATTTTAATGTAAGAGCATCACATGCGAAGGTTACTGCCACAGCTCTACGGCTGAGCTGATGCTGATGTTTCACCATTTTTACTTCCTACATCCCATGGGCCCTCCTCTCTCTACCACAACAAATCAACAAAAAAAAAGTCAAACTTTCAAAGGCCAAAATTAAGTTTACATTTACCTCAGTGTGAGAGACCTAGAGATTTCACTGAGCTAAGAAATGTTAGCCATTTCAGCTCATCTCAAGGTCCTCTTTTAGGTTTATTACTATTTTCCTACACAAATGGGGGTTTTGCCTCATCTCGTCATGATTTGGTATTCTGGATAAAAGCATGTTTTAAAAGTAAACCATGACATTTCAAACTAGTTCCATTTTAATAGGGAATAAATAGGCAGTTTAAGTGTTCTTGACAATTTTAGGAAGTGAAATCAACCTGGGAATCTAAGAACTACCAACACGTTAATTAAGATTGAACCAAAACCAACTGCAAAGAAGAGCATGCCAAAATAAGCTCATGAATCTAATGAAACTCCTAAAATTAGGTCCCTGATGAGCTTTTTATATCTAATATTCTCAGGTTTTAAGTCCTATACTAGTTTAACTCTCCTTCTTTTGATTCCTCTTGTCCTTATATCTTCTTATGTTAATAAAGCTGATAAAATGCGATCTCTCTAGTGTTGACACTGATTCCCAAAATGACTCTGTCCATGGGAACAACCAAATCAGCTTATTATATTCAAAAGCCAGAGTTTACAGAGCAAATTACACTGGCAACAGGACACAAAGTCCAAACAAACCAAAACCCAATGGACGAGAGCAAAAATTGATCACTAAAATTTAGGGTTTCCTCATTCTTTACATTATTTTCGAGCACTTTAGAGTCGCAACTCTATTGTATACTGCTTATTAAATATAAAGAACTGGCAAAATAGGATTCATTGGCACTTTCATCATTTGCATTGACTGACCACTATATGCTACATAAGCACTGTGACAGACAGTGAGCAGGAGGAGGTGAAGAAAGACCTAGTCGCGAGTTTCACACATTTACTGCATTCTAGATTTGAGCGTGCCAGTCGAGCAGGCAGGGCTATGCCACATGCGCCGAGTGCTAAGGAAATATTTCAAAAGGCCAGTGACCGTATATTTGAGTGTGTATTAGGGGCAGCAAGAGGGATTCAGAATTTAGAGATAATGTGAGTCTAGGGATGACATTTTTCTTATATATCAATTTCACATCAAAAATTTTTACTTGAACATGCTTTCTACCAGGAATTTTTTTTTTTTGGACCACAGGGAAAACCCTATACTTTGAATACTGAGTTGAGCACTTGTAAAACATAAAGCTCAATGAATTCCTTAGGTGATAACTACAATGAACTTCTAATTCCTAGCAGAGTACATCTGAAAGAGATAAAAGTACCATCTGGCTCTTTTAACAAGGAATGCTAGTAAAAGGAAAACACTTTCTTTTCTACAACCAATACAATTATAAATTATTTTGATAGAGAATATCAATTAAAACACCAAAAATTAATAGGTTTTGTTAACATTGTGAAACTGTGAACTATGGCTGATACAAATTAAAACTTACATCTTCTGCTTTTGATCCTTGATCCTGTAAAGATTTCTGCAATTCTTCAACTTGTGACTGTACTTCCAGAAGTCTTTGATTCACCAGCCTAGAAATCAAATGTACACTAATTTCCCAAATTCTGACTTATGTTGTTTTCCTTAGGTTGTTATATTGGTTAGAGAGAGAGAGTATTAGTAAAACAGAGCCTAAGGTTATAGTAGTAGTTCACTTTTTTTATTATTTTCACAGTGAATGATAATTTCTATGATGATTTACAACATAGTGTTTTTTGTGGATACGTTCTATTGAACTGATGTAACTATGCTTATCTATTTATCTGAAATTCACTTTGACATATGTTTATTCAAACTATGTGTCAGGCACTATGCTCAGTGCTAGTATAAAAAGATCTTTGCACTCAAGGAATTTAGTAGGCAATCAAAACATAAGTAAATAAAATACAAGATAAATACACCAACAGAATGCACAGATGTATAAAAAAGAATGAGGACTGCTCAAAGCAGCAAGAACTGTACCTACCTATGTAGAGGAATTAGGATAGGGTTGACTTAAACGGAAACAAAAATAATATGTGGTAGAAGGTACAAAAATGGGATTCGAGGCAGAACTGAATATGTCCAAAGTACACAGAAAAATGAGAGGGTACAGTAAGGTCAGCAATGGCCTGGCTGAAGAAGGTACAAGGAGTAAAAATGGCTGAAGAAGAAAGCAGAGGAGAAAACGAGTGGTTGGGTGCAACCTTGTATAAAATGCAAAAGTATTTGGAATTTATCCTATAATCTGGCCTAAAATTTGGCTGGAACTGGAATAACCCAGCCAGTCTTTAATGATGCTGATTCTGAAGCTCGATCTTCATAAATTCTCCCGGTCGCTATGATGCAAAATTCAGTAGACCAGTTTGATTCCCTAGGTCTTGGGTAATGTTGAGGATTGCAAGAAGAAACATGATCAGATGATATTTTAGAAAGATCATATTGGTATGAGAGTGGAAGATGTATGAAAAAAGGTCAAAGAGCAGGCATGAAGGCCTGGAGGAGGCTATTACAATCACGAAATATGCCTGAAACAGAAGGAAATAGAGGAGAAAAACATATTGGGAAGGCAAAAGAATACAGGAAATAAAAAATGACACTTAGAATATTGACTGGGAAGAATGTAAAGAAAGTGGAAGAGGAGAAAGGTAGTCCATGGCAGATCACCAAGCGCAGGGTAGAAAGAGGAACCTCACCCTGGAGAAGAGCAGGAGAGCCAGAAGAAACAAAAGACAGGGAGGGGTATTACTGAAGCTTAAAAAAGACAAAAGTCTGAGGAAGGAGGAAATGATTAACAACAATGAATCTAGCAGAGAGAGGAGGAAAACAGGATAGTCTTGGCCATTTAAGAGATTATTGGTCATTTCAGCAAGAAATAATTTAGTGAAATGGTAGTGATAAAGGACTGCCCCAAATTAAGAACAAAACAGGGCAATGAATACTTAGAATTCAAACACAGTTTAAAAAGATTTTTTTTTACTCAAGAAGTTACAAGAAATTCTGATCATAAATCTAAGTCGTATAATTAGTGGGAATAGAAAAAGGAAATATGATATCTAAGTGGTTTTCAATAGTGAAAGAATTATCTGACAATCCATATTCACTATGAAAAAGGGTACATAAATACATTACTACTGGTAACTTTGTCTTACCTTTTCAGAAAGCAAAATGAAAATATATATCAGACTATAAGACTATTTCAACTATCCATTCTAGCCATTTTTTAAGTAACTTAGTCAATAAATATTGCAGGCCTATTAGGTGGAGGCCATTGTAAATGTCATAAAACATAATCAATTAGTCCACACCAAGATATTCTTTGGGAAGACTTGAAAGTAACTCGAAATCCCGGTAACAGGGAATGAAGAAACATAATGATAAAAGTGTTACAGTTTGAAGTAGCTTTAATTCATGGTTAGAAAGAGAAAATGGTCGGGCTTTGGTAGCATTTTGCTTGAAGAAATAAAGAGGGGAATATTATAACAAAGAGGCACTATACTTTTGGCAAGCCTGCCCATAAACAAAAATGGGTTAAAGTGCTCTTAAAAGGAAATGGAATAACACATTATCACTTCTCAAAATACAATTCATGTCTTTGTTTAAGGAAATCAAAATCAAAACAAGTAGAGAAAACTCGTGGCTAAATGCAGCTGCCTATATACATTCCTACCTATTCTCTGTCTCCAGTTCATTCTTGCGTAGATTTGCGTCATCCAGAAGGCTCTGCAATAAGGCAATTTTTTCATTGTCTGAACCTTCTTGGTTAAGTTTTAACATCTTATTTTCATGCTGAAGGCGAATAAGTTTCTCCCTAAATGAGCAAGAGAAAAACTATTATCTGGTACATTAATACAATATAGTTATGTAAATCCTGCTATGCATAGTTACATATTTAATTCATAGAACAGAAATTAAAAACAAAGTACCTGCAAAGAATGCAGCTCCTGTTGTAACTGGCTAAGGCATTACATTTCAGGTCTTAAATACTTTCTTTTTTAGAATGGATAATCTGAAGATAACTCTCTAAATATCTTGATTTGTAATAAAAGAGATTTCAAAAGCCTATTTCCTTTCTGATTTATATATTTAAGCTATGAATGCATTTATATGCTTGTTTTTCTGTTTTCATCAAAAAACATGACCTCTAATCTCAGACTCGTAAATTACTAATCATTTGGTGGCAAGATACAATATCCAAGGAAGAATGCCTTCAACATAAGCAGTCCACCCATTCCTATAGATATGTAACATCATATTTTTTGTAACAAACCAGATTATCAGAGCCAAGTTATTGGACTGTGTTATTTTGGGTTCCTTGTGTTATGCCTTTGAGGGATAAACTTCCACTGAGAGGAGTTAAAAGAAAGAGCACATAAAATTTGCCGCTACATTTACTGCAGGAATGATATAACTGAATACTAATCCATATGGAGATAAAACAGAAGATGTACTTCTTGAAAATATAATTCATGATTTAGTTTCCACAGGGTCCTCTTTTGAGGGCCCTATGATGATACTTACACCAGATACTATGAAAAGCTGTGCTTTTCATGGAAAAAGAAAACACAAAAATAAAATAAACACATACATGCAACAGTCTGCTCTTATTTTGTAAACACCATAAATCTTTTAAAGCAATTTTACTTTTGCTCTTGAAAAAATGAAAGTCAAATTTGTGGCCCAACTCAAGCAATTATGTAGAACTTGATATATTTTATGTAAGGACAACAATGACTTTAACATATTTTTCAATGACAAGTAAAACATGTTCATTGCAGGGGGAAAGGGACAAACGAGAAGAAAAGAGAAACCCTCCATAACCCTGTGGTGCAAAGTTATTACCGCTGAAATACAGCCTTCTAATTCTATGCATATGTACACACATGAAAACAATCTTAAAAAATGGATCACAAAGTACATGTTACATTGATATTTGCTATTTACCCTTAAATTTTCAGTCTTTCCAAATCAATAAATATAATACTTCAACGTTTTAATTGAAATGTTAAAATGCATATATGAGCTTTTATTTATTTAATCAATACCCAATTATTGGGCATTTAGATTGTTCCCAATTTGGAGATTTAACATGCTAATAATAATCAGTTATATAAATATACTTTTGTGTATATCTTTGGTTATTTCCCAGATAAGTAATTTTTGGGTCAAAAGATAGGCACATTTAGACAATATAAACGTTTTTTTCAAAATGCTAAAAAAAAAAAAGTGGTACCAGCACAAGAAAAATGGTTGTAACTATGTGTGGTGATGGATCTTAATTAAACTACTTGTGGCAATTATTTCACAACATAGGAGGCCTGTCTAGAAGGTATCCAGCCATGTAGTATGAAAAATAGAAACATCTATTGAAGAAGATACGCGATATAAGAAACATTGTACATAGGACAAGGACGCCTCAGCACCCTTTAAAAGAGGCACCTTGGCACCTTACACAGTTCTCCCAATCACCATTAGCTGCCCCCTCGTAGTTTCCTGAATCTCACAGATGGTCTGAAATCCCTTCCCTTTCAAAGGTGATTTTAGTTTTGGGAAAAGCCAGAAGTCACCAGGGCACCAAAGCTGTGCTGTGAGGGGACTGAGTCACCTGGGTGATTTGATGTTTCACAAAAAAACTGGATGGGATGTGATGCCTGAGCAGGAGCGTTGTCGTAATGAAGCTGCCAATCACCAGCTGCCCGTAACTGCGGCCTTCTGAATCACCAGAATAGTTTTCATGGAGGAATGTTCAAGCTTAATGCAAAATTTGATGCGGATTCATTGCTTTACTCGCTCTGTCATTTTGAATGCGATGGCCACACAGTACACATGCTCACTTGTGGGTGGGCCTCTACCACCCCCACTGATAAGCACAGTGAGGTCATCAGTGTTCATGCATGTACATTCCAGTCCACTCTCCTTGGCTGCCAGGTTCTCATTATATTAACAATGGCTGGACTTTTTCCGGACAGACACATATATCACACCATTGTGTTGTGTATCTAAAACTAATATAGCTAATATGTCAATTATATCTCAATTATTAAAGAATTAACTTTTAAAAAGTTGTACCACTTCACAGTTACTCCTCGTTTGAGTTTCCAATTTCTCCACACCCTAATGTGAGTGAAAATTATCACTTATAATAGTTTTTGCATATTTGATAGGTACACTTCATTATATATTAAACCTATTAGCCCAGAGTCTATACCATTTGTTCCAAATTTTCTTCCCCTTTACCATATCATTATCTTGATAGCTCTTCTAGACACAGAGTATGTTTTAATTTATATTGAGTTATACTTAAAAGAGCCATTTTATTTGTTGAGTCTTTATCACTGTTCTTTTCATCAGTTTCAAAATACAACTGCAATACCTATAAGCTTCCTTAAAGATTTTTTTGGATATAACAACTTATTTATGAATATTCATAAAATAAGTGTTCATTTATTCAACAAATTTTATTGGTCCAATAAAAAGTACCATATCATATGGCAGAAAAGACAAAGGTCTACAAAATGCTTCCAGATATTTGCTATTTAAGGGTAAATACCAAATACCCTAGGATAGTTGCTATTTACCCTAGTATAGTTGCATTATACTCCCTTTGTCTTAAATAAATGCCAACGATAATCAATTAAGTGTCTTCATCTACTCAACAAGTATTTGAATGCCTATTTATAAAACTCTTGAACATATTAAATAATTAAATATTATTTAATTACCCCAAGGAAATTATAAAGAATCAAGGCCAATGTCAATTTAAAAAGGGGCAAATAAGTTCATAGAAGGTAAAAGCAATATTGAGATTCAGCATTTTCCTTCTCCTGGACATTTGGTGCCTCCCCACCAATCTTTCATTCTTATATATAAAGCCAGGTACATTTTGAAATAAATGGAATTTTAAAAATGTTATGACTAAATAAAAATGTTAAGGTACTATCAAGGGAAGAGTCATAGAGATGGGGAGATACTTCCTCCTGTCTATTGCATTGTATTTTTCCCAGGCCATTCTACATCATGAAAAGATCAATCTTAGTGATAATTATTTTGTGGGTTGATGGCTACACATAACCTTTGTTTTTGGGTCAAGTGGTTTTATTGCTAAATGTTTGCTAAAGGTACCCAGCAGAGAGCTATCAGTTTGTGTGTATAAGTGAAACATTGTCTTACTAAAATAAGAAAATCAAAAATCATGGACATTTATTATTGAGTTCATGCTGAAAGTGTTAGTAATAAAAAATAAGGAAATGATCCTCTTGGTATTGTGGAAGAGTCAGTTTTTTCCAGAAATACAGTGGAGTGTGATTGCGAACTTTATGATCTCCTTACCTGATTTCAGGTGTGACAATCTCTGCTGCCAGACTATCTGAAGACTCCTGACTTTCCAGAGGCATTAACCCTAGAGTATGTAAACACGAATGCAAGGGTAAGAGGAAGCACAACTAAGTTCCTTTAGTTTCTATATGAAATCCTACTTTGAGAATTAATTTTGACAGCTAAGTTCTTTGTTTTAGTCAAGTAAAAGATCATGTCACAGTTGTCTTAAATTATTAATATGTCATTGTTAACAATTTCCAGGTGTACAGCTGAATGACAGTAAGTACATTCACTATGCTGTGGAACCGTCACTGCTGTCTATTTCCAAAACTCATCACCCAAAACATAAATTTGTAACCATTAAGCAATAACTCCCCATTCCTTTCTCCTTTACCCGCCTCGTTCACTTCTACTTTCTGCATCAATGAAGTTGCACATTCTAGATACCTCATAAAGTGAAATCATGCCAATATTTGTCCCTTTGTGTCTGGCTTATTTCACTTAACATGGTGTTCTAAAAATTCATCTATGTAGCATTGATCAGAACGCCATTCCTTTTTATAGCTGAATAATATTCCATTGTTTGTGTACGCCACATTTTCTTTATCCATTCATCTGCTGATGAACACATGGATTGTTTCTATCTTTTGGCGACTGTGAATAATGCCACTATGAATATTGGCATACCAGTATCTGGTTGAGTCCTTGCTTTGAATTCTTTTGGGTACATATATACTTAGAAATGGAACTGCTACGTCATATGGTTATTACCATCAGCAATGCAAGAGGTTTCCAATTTCTCCACATCCTCCCCAACACTTGTTATTTTCCTTTTTGGTAACAGCCAACCAAGTAAATGTAAAATAGTACCTCACTGGGGTTTGATTTGCATTTTTCTAATGACTACTGATATTCAGCATCTTTTCATGTGCTTATTGGACATTTGTGTATCTCTGAAGAAATGTCTATTCAATACCTATGCCCACTTGTAAGCTGAGTTGCTTTGTTGTGACTGTAGAAGCTCTTTAGATATTCTGGTAATCAATTACTTAGTAGATACATGATTTGCAAATATTTCTTCCATTTTCTGGGTTGACTTTCACTCTGTTGATAGTGTCCTTTGATGTGCTAATGTTTTTAATTTTGATGAAACCCAATTTATGTTTTTTTCTTTTGTTGCCAAAAGCATAGGCAACAAAAGAAAAACAGATAAATTGGGCTTCATCAAAATTAACATTCCAAGGAATCACTGCCAAATCCTGTGTCACGATGGTTTTCCTCTATGTGTTCTTTTAAAAGTTTTGTAGTTTCAGCCCTTACATTTAGGTCTTTGACCCATTTTGAGTTTAATTTTATATACGCTGAAAGGGTCCAACTTCATGCTTTTGGATGTGGATATCCAGTTTTTCTAGCACGACCTGTTGAAAAGACTTTCCTGTGCCCCACTGAATAGTCTTGATGCTCTTGTTGACAACTGACCACATATATGAGGATTTATTTTGGGTTACTCTTTTCTATTTCACTGGTCTATATATGTCTTCTTTATGACTATAGCACACCATTTTGATTACTAACTTTAAACTAAGTTTTGAAATTAGGAAGTGAGTCTTACAACTTTTTCTTCTTTTTCAAAATTGTTTTGGTTATTTGGGGTTCCTTAAGATTCCCTATTAATTTTAGGATGGGTTTTTCAATATCTGAAAAAAATGCTGCTGGTATTTTAATAAGGACTGCACTGAATCCGTAGACTCCTTTTCGTAGTACTATCATCTTAACAATATTAAGACTTTAATGATTTCCTGCGAGAAGAGCACTTTTCTCTTTGGATAAATGTCCCTTAATAAATTGATACTAACTCCACATATCAGTGTGAAAAAAAAAAATCACTGATTTAGAAAGTTTGATATATTTTTAAGGAAGTTATGAGAAATTTTTGGAATAAAATTTCCAGGTTTGTTATTAATCGAGATGATTAAAGAAATGTTTATACTTTTGACCTAAGAAAATCCAATATTTAAATATAATTAAAATATAAAGTAGGCAAGTAAATTCAATTCCATAACTACAGATTATTTGCCACAATATCTGGGTAACAGTCTAAAACCTTTATCAATTTTATGGCCTCTTCAGCAATTTTTTATTTTCATCTATTAATCCAATTATCTTAAAATGAATCTAATATTTATACTGATACAATTAGAAATAAATAATCTTGCTTGGGCTACTGAAATGGTTTTACCTTGAGTTGTAAGCTGCCCTTCTTGAGCCTGTACACAGCGAAGCTCTTCAATGGTTTCCTTTAGAGAATCCCTTTCTGTTCTCAACCTCTGGCGAGATTAAAAACAAGGAAAGTTAGCTGCAAGTTTTATGAATTTATTCATTAATGGTCTTTGCCTTACCTAATAAAATGATAAACAGTAGGAAACATGCATGTTTTGATCTTCTATGAAAAGATCATAGAAGGTGAAAGATTACAACAATTTTTTTCCATTTAGAAATATTGAGTATCTACATTGTGCAAGGCAATATGCTATCCAGTTTTTTTTCCATTTAACAATACTGAATATCTACAATGTGCAAGTAATATGCTATTCACACTTAAACATAAGAAATGCAACTGTCTACACCATCCTTAACAGTAAGTACCTAATTACATATATAACATTCTTTTCATTAAACACAAAAAAATTAAACAAAGAATATAAATATTCAAAATCATGAAAAAGAAAATATTTTTAAAAGATTCAAAATATGCTGAACAACACCACAAGAAATTGTGTCTTCTATAATACACAGAAAACAGAAAGTCTACATAAATATACAAAAAGTCATGAGCAAAACAATGTAAAAGTAGGAATGGTGATATAAATATAAATATATATAAAAAAATTAGAATGGAAGTAAAAATATTGTTTTAATCTTTTAATTTAGATCTATTTCTGAAACAAATGCAAATCTTAAATTTAAAAATAAACAGGATCTCTAATTTTTAAATTTATAAATAGTTGGAATTAATATAGTCAAAACAAGAATTAAATGTCAGCCTTAATTTTAGTAGTGCTCAAAACCAAAACGCCTAATTTATACTCACATCCTTTTCTTTTTGAAGAGTATCAACTTTTTCTTTTAGCCGCTTATATTCAAAATCTAATTTATCTGCTTTCTTCGATTCTTCAGATAATCTATTCTGCAGTTCTACTACCTGATACAGAAAAGTATCATTAATTTTATAATTTGAAACATTTGAAATTATCACTGTTTTATTATTAAACTATCCCTGAGGATATGTTTATTGATTTGAGAGTAAGACAAAGAGGGGGAGGGAGGTAAGGAAGAAGGAAGGGAGGGAGAGAGAGGGAGGAGGGGAGAGGGAGATGGCTGGAGAGAGAGAGGGAAAGATCGACAGACAGAGACAGACATTGATGTGAGAGACAAACATTGATCGGTCACTTCCCATACGTATCTGGCCAGGGATCAAACCCATAACTAGGTGTACGCCCTGACTGGGGATGGAACCTGCAGCCGTTTAGTGCACTGGATGGTGCTCCAACCAACTGAGCCACCCAGCCAGGGCTCCCCACAAATGTATGCACTTTTAAATGTATATGATACAGCAGCCTAACTCAATGGAGAGAACTAGGAACAAAAAACTGTCATTATGAGTTCTAAAACCAGATCACCTAGAGTAACGGTGTTCAAAATGATGGAAAAAAATATGGTTCTTCCATTTCCTATAATACAGACAACTGTACAGTCTGGAACCTGCTAAGCATAAAGCAAAAGAAATGCTAGGAAAAAAATCCAATTACATAGTTAAGCTTACAAGAAAGTAAAAGAAATCCTCACTTGCTAAAACTGGAGTAGAAGTACATGTGGAAGCCAAGAGGTGCAAATTGCCAAAACCAGGAACCTAGAGCTTAAAAATTTAATGGGAGACATGTGACTGTTAAATCACCTTGGGCTCTAAAAGATGATGAGTCAGTAAATAGGTGGCTGTGTGAGGTGGGGAAATCGATGAGCTTGAAAATTCAATAAGGAAACTTGCCTTTAAGTGAATGCACTTGGTTTAAAAAAGTGTAACTTGAAAATTTGTATTTATGATCTGCTAATACATGAATTTGTGCTTAAAATTCTGCCATGTACATGCTTTTCCTGTCAAATCCTAAAGCAAGCAATTAATTTAAAATAGTCTTGCCCTGGCTGGGTGGGTCAATTGGTTGGAGCATCATACCACACACCAAACGGTTGTGGGTTTGATTCCCAGTCAGGGCCGATACCTAGGCTGCGGGTTCAATCTCTAGTCAGGGTGTACAGAGGAGGCAACCAAATCTATCGATGTTTTTTTCTCCATTCCCCTCTCTAAAAATCAATAAACAGAGCCTCAAGTGAGGATTTGCAAAATAATTTTTTTTTAAATAAAATTGTCCTGGTTGTTAAATGCTGTGGAAAATCTGGCATAAGCAACACACACATCGTTTGGAGGGATATCACCTCAATCCAGGCCCTCCAATATTCCCAAAGATAAAGATGAACCAAAAAATAACAAAGACCAAAAAGAAATAAGCCACTATGAACAATGGTCAACAGAAAAACATTAACAGTAATAACAACAAAAACAGAATAAGACCTCCAAGGATTTCAGATTGTAATTATCAGATATAAAATATTAAATTTGATACTTTAAAGACAAATAAAGAAGAAAATCTAAATTATGAAAGGAATAAGAGATTACTAAAAATCATCAGGCTGGTTTGAAAGTACACCGAAAGACAACTTGAAGAAAGAAAAATACTATCATTGAAAAATAAAATATATTATGCTTCAGATCAGAAGCAGAGAATTAGTATATCATACAATATCACTACAATATTTCTAGGTGAAGATATCTTTTTATTTACTTTGTAATTCATTGTTAATACTAAATCTGATGTCCTTTATTAGTTCTGAAAAAATTTTAGCCATCTTTTCCTTCATATAATGTCTGTAAGTCCTGTTCTCTCCTCTGAGCTCTAATTAGATCATTTCTCCTTTTGATTTTACACTTTTTCATCTCATTTATAATTTCTTTCATCTACACTTATTTCGGGCTATTTCTCAATTCTCACTCAAATTCATTAATTCTTTCAACCTTGTTATGTGTTAAAAATTTTATAATAAAGTGTTGGGGATAAAATGTATCCACCAAAAAAACCTGCCAGGGCTGATCTACTAAAACTTTCCCAAATCGTTTTATTAAGCTAGTATAATTCTGATGCCAAAATCAGATAAGGAAACTATTAAATAGAAAATTTCAACGCAAAATAGTCTAAGTAAAATTAACAAAGCAGATCTAACAATGCAAAAACAACAAATAAATTCACAGTGACCAAATTAAGTTTATCTCAGGAATGCAAAGATGGTTTAAACATAGAAAATGTATACAACAGAAGTCTCTCAATAGGTGCAGGAAAAGTAGTTGGTTAAATTCAGTGCCCACTGAAGCTCTGGCTGGTGTGGCTCAGTGGATTGAGCACCAGCCTATGAACCAAAAGGTTGCCGGTTCAAGGGCTGGTCCCTGGTTGGGGATGCATGAGAAGCACCTAGTTGATGTATCTCTCACTCTCTTTCTCCCTCCCTTCCCCTCTCTCTAAAAAAAATAAACAAGATCTTTAAATTCAACAATCATCTAAGATAGACACACTAAGCAAATGGAATTTCTTTATCCTAGTAAAAGGTGGCTACAAAAAACTATAGCAATCCTTATACTGGTAAAACATTTAAAGCATTCTGTATAAAATCAACAACAACAAAAAAGCCTGTCTACTATTTTTGCTTCTATTTAAAATTGTATTAAAGGTCAGGCCTGCTGATTAAGAAGAAAAAGATGTCCTGGCTGGTGTGGCTCAGTAGATTGAGTGCTGGCCTGAGAAGCAAGGGGTTGCTGGTTCGATGAGTGGGTTGAAGGCCAGGTCCCCAGTAGGGGGCATACAAGAGGCAATCACACACTGATGTTTCTCTCCCTTTCTCCCTTCCTTCCCCTCTAAAAATAAATAAATAAAATCTTTAAAAAAATAGATGAAAAAGTGTATAATATAGAAAAAAAGAAATAAAACTTTTTATTTGTATATCAATTAACCAAGAGATTCAGTAGATATTAGAATATGAGAATTTGATAAAGTTGTAAAAATCAGTATATAAAAATCAATTTCAATCAGATTAATAAGCAACAAACTGGAAATGGTATCCTTTCTTTTGTTAATTGCATTTACAAAGACCAAATACATAAAATGTGTGCATGATATTTAGAAGAAAGGTATAAAAGTTAATTGAGAGATTCTGAAGAACTAAATAAACAGAAAGATATTATATTCACTGATAGGAATATTATTGTCATAAATATTTCAATTACCTCCCACATTAATCATTTTGGAGAATAATGTGGCAATATCTAATTAAATGAACATATTCTAAAGAAAAAATTCCATATAGTTGAACTTCCACATAGGTATAGAAGAGGCAATATTCAATACTATTTATTCACAGTGGCATTTCTGTGTAACATAAAATAAGAAGTTGAAACACCTTATTTGTCCTTCAACAGAAAAATCAATAAACTGTGGTACAGTCATTTAATAAGATACTATACAAATGAAGGAAATATAACTATATACCTATCAACATAAACAAATCTCACAAATATACTAATGAGCAAAAGTAAATTGTGGTAGAGTTTTTTCAATTTATAATTTATACAGAGTAGAGCAAGAGTAGTTACAGTTGTTCATATAAAAATAATACAATAATTAATAAATAATAATACAAGAATAAACTGTGTTTTGTGTACTCATAACCATAAACCTTTTGCCCCACCCTGTATAGCTTTAAAACATGTCAACATGCTATAAATTTTATATGCATACATATTAATAATTATACATATGCAGCAAAAGAATAGAGCAGTGATTTTTAACCAGGGTGCGCCACAACAATTTTAAAACATAACATACCTATTTAGTCAGGGGCATTGACCTCTTTTCCCTTACATTCTCAAGTAAAAAATGGTAACAGCCAACAAAACAATAGCCGTCCATTGTGAATGAATCAAAATTATACCTTTTTTATTTTTGTCAGATCAGCAAAAAATGTAATGTATTTTTTGGAGTGCTGCAGAATTATAGTAATTAGTATATGTGTGCCATGAGATGAAAATGGTTGAAAATCACTGGAATAGAGAGATGCAGAGGAATGAAAACCACAGAACAGCATAGTGGTTACAATAATGAGGGGAAGAAGAGTATGTTTCATTTTAAGCATGGACACAAATTATTTTTTTAACTTCTGTGTATTTTTTTAAGTATTATGCAATAAATTAAAAAATTAAAAACAATAAAAGGATGTGCTATAGAGACCAACCAGTAAGTTCTGGCGAAGAACTAAATTTCAAATGTAAAAATCAGAATACCATAAAAACGAAAGTCAGCAGATTTTTGATAAGTCATAGTGTTATAATGGAGAACCTGGTTGAAAACGTCATTTGGAAATTTTGATACTATTCTTTTACCTGTCTCTTGTATGTCTCAAGTTGACTTCGAGCTGCATTGGCTTTTCTTAACTCTTCCTCTAGACTGACAGTGTTCTGCATATACATAGTATTCTTCTCTTCTAAGAGTTTAACCTGCCGCCTCAAATCACCAAGATCTTCCAGCTTCTTTTTATATGATTCCACTTGGCCTTCTAGTTTAGACACTTTATCAGAAGAATGTCTAGAATAAGATGGAAAATCAAAAATCAGAAATACATCTACAGTATAAAGCTGTTTTGGATTGTGCTAAACCAAGAGGCATTGCCAGATAATAACATGTTCTAATGAAATTATAGGACCAAAGATGATTCCAGGTTAATTTTTTGCTCAGGTTAAAAAAATACAACCAAATTACAGCAAAAAATTGTAATGACAAATGTAAGGAAAAGCAACTGTGCGCGGAGGTAGCCAGAGACACATGTAGTAGGAAAAAAGCAAAATAAATTTTGCAGCGTCCAAAGGACTTGGCAATTAGAATGCTATTAGTGACCACAGAACAGCCGTTTCAGGGGAGTAGTTGGGGTAGATGGAGGCAAACTTTAGGAGGGTAAGGGGAAAACATAAATTTTATTCTGTATAATCTAAATTTGATCTGGAAGGAAGGAGAGAATAACAAGTTTTTCTCTTTTTCTAAGATGAGAGAGACCTAAAACCTAAATATAGGCTACGGAGGAAGATTCAGATGTGAAGAGAAGTGCTAACTGGTTGTTACACAGTCCTTGCGGAAGTGAAAAGCAGTGGGACCCAGAGCACTGAAGAAGAAATTAGCACTCGACAGGACGAAGAATAACAAGCCTATATTCTAGAAGCAAAAAAGAGAAGATTAGTGGGAATGTTAGGGAAGTGAGGAAGTGCAGGAGATAGAGGACATGGTGAGTCCGCAGTTCCTGGCCTCTTTCCTCCAGGCAGCAGGAGACAATGTCATCTACTGAGGGCAAGGCATGGAGGGGTTCGGTGGGATGGGCATGCAAGTGAGAAGAGTTATGAAAATGCATCATAGCTGTGAGGCAAATGGGAGACAGAGCTATCTACTGATGAGCAGAACCGTGGACCAGTGAAGAGGAAAGCTCATTAATTTGTAGTAGGACAAAAGAACATCACTATGTGAATTTCTCTATTTGTTCTCAGTATTCAAAGAGCAAAAGTGTAAAATACAGATGGTTGGAATGATCCAACAGAGGACAGATTATACAAGAACTGGAAAGGTGGAAAAATGAGGTGGCAGGCAATGAGGTACCCAGTGAGAGGCTACTTGAGGTGAAGATAAAAAGGCCGAGCAAGGACATGAAGTCTTGTCAGATAGGATATTATCTGAGAAAAAGAAAGACCAAGCGACTGCAGGACTCAAAATAAAGAAAAAGAGTAGTAATAAGTAAAGCTCCAGAGCTATGCAAGTATAAAGTGATGGTCATAGAGAAATTTCTATTTGACAAATATTTACATTCCACTTATTTGCCAGACACTGTTCCAAGTGTTTACAAATATAAACTCACTTAATTCTACATATAAATCTGAGGTAGGTATGTGTATTATTTCCATTTTACAAATGAGAAAATGGTTACATGAAGTTAAATAAATGATAGCACTGAGATCTAAATCCAGGTGGTCTGGCTCTTAAAGGGTTCTGGGTGATGAGAGGTCTGAGATTCTACAAAGATGGGAAGATTGTTTACCTAAGAACATCTATTTCATCTTTTAGAGACTGAGCGTCATCTGCCAAAGTGGTTAGTTCATCATTCTGTTGCCGAAGTTCAGAGACTTCCTTTTCTAACTCTTCACAGCGTATTCGATAATCATCTTTGGCTGCTTCTAGTCTGTAACCAAAACAAAATAAACCAAGAAAGTACTATTTACTGTCTAATAATTCTCCTTAAAACAGTAAACAAAAATAAAAAGCATAAGAATAAACTCTTCCTGAATTTGTCTCTCCTACATTTTGTGACCATAAACTATAATTCTAAGTTTTAATTATCCTAAAAATGGGTTCCACTGCTCCGAGGCTTGTGAAAAGATAAAACCTAATTACCAGTCCTTTATTCAGAAAGTCAGACATCAAGTTAATATTTTTCAAAATACAGCAGACAGAATTCATTTAAATGTTATTTTTAATTATGAAATTTATACTTTGTTGAAAATTTACAAAATACAGAAAAGCAAAAAAAAAGGATAAAAACCATATAATAGTCTAAATAGAAAACTACTATTAACAATTGTGGAGTACATCCTCCAGTCTGATTTCTATTCATAGATCTTTTTTCCCCCGAACATATAAAATACTATTTTTACTTCTTAATACATTTTGCTTAACATAAATCCTTCATTTAGATTGATAAGATTCTTTATCTCTCTCATCACAAATATTTATCATTGATTATTTACTTTTAATATTATGTATTTAATGTATAGAAACTCTTCATTTTTATGTAAGTCAACTGATGAATCTTATACTAGTTTCCACTTTTAGTATATGATTAGAAATTTTTTTCCCTCTTTTAATCCTACATTGTTAGTATTACATATGGTGTCATTTTAACATTAAAATTCTCAATTTCTCTTGAATTTATTTTGGTATTCAATGTAATTTATTTTGGTATATGATAAAACATAATGTGATATATATGATCTAACTTTTCCTGCCAAAATATCTACCATTGTCCCCAAAACATTTAATAAATATTTAACCTTTCTCTCTCTACTGACATACACTTGGGTTCCTAGATCTTCACACGTGTCATTGATTTGTCTATAATTTGCTGCACCAGTACCAAGCTATTTTAATTAGTATGGCATTGTAACAGATTTCAACACTAAATACGGTTAAGTACTCCCTCATTAAACTTTGTTCTCAAAATGTTCTGGGAATCTCTTTCTCATTATCACTTCTACACGAGCATAAAATTTAAATTGGAATTAAGTTCAAATTATATAACAATTTAACAGAAAATGACATTCTTACAAAGCTCCCAGAAAAACATGTAAAAATACATTGTTATCTCTCTTCATATATTAAAGTATTTTAAATGTTTAACTTAAGAAGTTTTTGTCATGTAAGTCTGTAATATTACAGTAGTCCCAACTTATCCATGGCAGATGCATTCCAAGACAACCAATGGACACCTGAAACCATGGATAGTACCAAACCTTATATATACTATGTTATTTCCTATACATACATACCTTTTCACTTAAATGAAGACTTTACAGCTTTTCTTTGGCATATCCAAGTTGCCAGCATCACTACTGTTGCATTTTGGGGCCATTATTAAGATAAGGCTTACCGGAACGAAAGCACTGCCATATTGCAACAGTTGATCTGGTAGCTGAGACAGCTACTAAGTGTTAATGGGCGCGTAGCGTGCAGAGGATGGAGACAATGAACAAAGGGATGATTCATGTCCCAGAGGGGACGGTGTGAGATTTCGTCATACCACTCAGGAGAGAATGCAATTTAAAAGTTGTAAGTTACTTATTTCTGGAATTTTCCATTTAATATATCTGGACTGCAGTTGGCCATGAGTAACTGAAACCACGGAAAGTGACTGCAGATAAGGTGGGACTATTGTACTTTTCATTTTTTTTTTAGGTAATTATATATGGAAGGCTTTTTTTTCTGATGATACTGAATAGTTATTGCTAGAAAAGCTTATGATTGATACAAATGTCTCACAGTTACCCTCTCCCTATTAAATGTTTATTGTTTTTAAGAACTTTTCAGCTGATTCTCTTATATATTCTAGGTAGACAAACATAAAACCTACAAACATTTTGACTTCCCAATATTTTCATCTCATTTCTTTTTATTTCATTCTCTAGAAAAGTAGTAACAACGAAATCTGATATAGCACCTACATGCCAGGTAATAGTCTCAGTACTTTACATATACTAACTCATTTAATATTTAACTTATTTAACACTCATTTAAAATTCTGGAAGGTAGGTAATACTATGAGACCATCTTATAGTGGAGGAAATGCAGGCATGCCCGAGGCTACACAGTTACTGAGTGGCAAAGCCACAATTTTTTAAATGTTGAGAAAAAAGTCAAATAAATTAAGATTCATTCATATATTCTGATTATAAAAAATAATAAAAATACTAAGACATATCAAGATACTGTATTGATAATGCATTTGAATTGTTAAAGTACTTCAAAACATATTATAATATGTATTCTGAAACTATTTCCTATACAATGAAAATGTAAGACAATTCTACTATTTTGTCATGTATCATGTGCTCCCATGTATACTGCGAACTCATGGTTTTCTGTGCGTTATACACAGGATTATTATACCCATGTATAAAGCACATCCTTATTTTTCCCTCAAAAATTTGGGCAAAAAGTGCACATTATACACAGCAAAATACAGACCACTTTCCCAAAACTGTATTTTAAAACCTGGCCACAATTTGTTGACTTCTGTCTCAGATGGCAGCACAGAAGGACACTGAACACACCTTCTCCCATAAACACATTGAATTTTCAACTACAGAGCAACTTCCTCTCAGGAAGAACTGAGGGCAACTGAATAGCTTCTGCACAGCAAATGAGAAAGAGAGACCACACAGAAATGGATAGGAGAAACTCAGACAAGGTGTGGTGGAAACCCCACTCCCAGTGCACCGCCTGCAGGAGGGAGGGAGGAATCGCCTTCTCTCCCGCCCCGGGGCATAGTGACACAAGAGTGGTTTCAATAGTGGTTTCAAGGGCACCTAGACTATAAGGGGGTAAAAATTCATTTAACAGCCTTAGAGCATTAGCCAAACAGGAGGTGGGTTGTGGAAACTCTTCCACTGCAGGAAGTATGGAGCGCCAGTGGTTGTGATCCCCTTCACCTTCAACTCACAGGCAGGAACATGATCCAGGTATTCTAGCCAGTCAGCCAGGGCTATTGGACAGTGCACCAGGCCCTGGGCTCATACCAGCTCCTTGGCTTGCCCTTGGGACTCCCCAGAGACCACACCCTTTCCAGCCACAGCTCAAGATGCTGGCTAGGCTTTGCCCTGAGAACTCCCCTTGGCCCTGTGCCTACTCCAATTATAGCTCTGGGCCCTGATGTGGCTTATCTTATGACAGTCTTCTCCAGCTCCAGCTTCCAGCCTGTCTGCCAAGGTGCCTCTATAGTGGCTTGTCCAGCTACACCCCAGGCTCTAACCTACCCCAGTTATAGCTCCTGGCCCGGTGCAGCTCGTACCTAGGACTTCTTGCAAATCATGCCACTTCAGTTACAGCGGCAAGCTCCAGTGCAGCTTGTGTCCAGGACTCTCCTTGGCTTGAGTGCACTCCAGCTACAGCTCCAACTGGCCTGTCAAGGAAACCCCAGTGTGTGGTTGGCCCTTGGAACTTACTACAGCCTGTGCCCACCATGATGGTAGCTCCACTCAATCTGCCAAGGTGTCCCCACTGCAGCTTGACCCAGGACTACCCGTGACCTCATCCTTAGCTGGCTCCAGCTCCAGCCACTGCTGGCCCACCACGGCAGCCACAGCAGCTCTCAGCAGCCAGCTCCCACTCTGGCTGGTCTGCCAAAGGCGCCCAGCATACACAGTCTACGAAGGGAAAGCTCCTACACAAGGCCACTACTTTGAGACCAGGAGAGGTTGCCATTTTGCCTAATTCACAGAAATAAACACAGAGAAACAGCAAAATAAGGTGACACCAAAATATGTTCCAAATGAAAGAACAGGATAAAACCCCAGAGAAAGAACTGAATGAACCAGAGACAAGCAACCAGTAAAATAAAGAGTTCAAAACACTGGTTATAAGGATACTCAATGAACTCAGGAGAAGAATAGACAAAACAATCAGAACTCAATAAAATAACTGCAATAAAAATACACTAGAAGGAATCAACAGTAAATTAGCTGAAGGAGAAGAAAAAGTCAGGGAGCTGAAAGACAAGGCAGTGGAAATCACTCAATCAGAATAGCAAAAAGAAGAGAGAATTAAAAAAAATGAAGATTGTTTAAGGGACAACATCAAGCACACCAACATTCCAGTCAGGGGGTACCAGAAGGAGAAGAGAGAGAAAGGGACAGAAAACCTATCTGAAGACACAAAGGCTGAAAACTTCACCAATCTGGTTAAGTAAACAGACATCCAAGTCCAGGGAGCACAGAGGGTCCCAAACAAGATGAACCCACAGAGGACCACACAAGATAAAGAGAAATCTTAAAAACAGGAGGAAAGCAGCTAGTTACATATAAGGGCTTCTCCAAGAGACCATGAGCTAATTTTTCAACAGAAACTTTGCAGGCCAAAAGGAAATGGCACAATGTATTTGATGTGATAGAAGAGAGAAAACCTATAGGCAAGAATACTCAATCAAGCAAAATTATCATTCAGAACTGAGGGACTACAAGAGTTTCCCAGACAAGCAAAAGCTAAAGGAACTCATCACTATTAAACTAGCATTGTAAGAAATGTTAAAGGGACATCTTTAAGAGAAAAAGGCCAAAACTAAAAATAAGGAAATATAGGAAAGGAATATTCTCATTAATAAAGGCAAACATTTTGTAAATATAACAAATCAACCAATTATCAAATTAGCATGAACGTTAAAAGACAAAAGTAGTAAGAGCATGTGTAAATACAGTAATAAACTAAGGAACTCACACATGCACAAGATGTGAAATATTATGTCAAAAACATAAATGTGGGGGTATGAGTAAAAAATGTAGTGCTTTTGGAATGCATTTGAATGTAAACAACCATCAACGTAAAACAGACTACTATAAACATAGCTTTTATGTTACATATGAATCTTAGGGTAGCCACAAACTAAAATCTTCTAATAAATACACAAAAAATAAA